GCTTTATAGTTGGACTGTTGTTTTGAACAGAGTTATGGAGTCAATATACAGAAATACAGGACCAGGATTTAATTCAATATCTCCTGAGAATGTTTTCATTGTCTAAAATATTACAGAAGTCACAGAAGGGTTGTTTTTAATACTGTATAAATCTTTTTGTGAACTATGTTGATAAATGGCTTAAAATATCCCCGAAAATATCCAATATTTTATGCAGTGTAATATATTAATAAAAAAATTCCAGAGTGCATTCCATGTAAACTCTACGCCGAAGATACGGCAATATTAACTATAGATAGTATAGTAAATATTTGCCGAACTGGCGAACTCGTGTATTATAAAATATGTGGGACATATATTTGCACAAATTTGGTATTTAAATATATAATATGTGGTATTTGACTACTTACCAGATGAGGATAAGATTCCATGTTGTAAGTAACTTCGGAATAAAAAAAAGACAGCCAATTCGAGATAAATTGATAAAAATATAAAGATATTTTTGAAAGAATAACACGATTTATTCACGAGGCCTGACGAGGCTAAAGTATGCCCGTTCGCAGGTTAGATGCGGGCACGATGTAAACAATTGATGTAAACGAATCGCTGATTGGCTTAAATTGGCTTAAATTATATAAGCTCGTCGCTGAATGGCTAGGGATACGGTACGGTACGGTACGGTCACGTTTGCGATAGCAATATATCTGCTTCGCAGATACAAAAATACTTGGTTAGCGTCACACTCTCACAAATTTTCAGAGGCGGGCGGGCGGATTTTTTTTAAAATTTTTACTCGTTTTTTAATTTTTTAATAGTATTTTTGGAGGGAATGGGGGGCGTTTTTCCACCATATCGGTGATATTTTTTGTACTGATGTTGCGAAGGCCGCCATTTTGCTTTAAGAACCTTGTATACCCAAGCCTACGCGCTCCTATCGATCAGTATATAGCGCGAAGGTCTGAGCATGAGAAAAAGTTCAAATATTAAACTGTTTTAAGCTGTAAAACGAAGAGATTTACATAAAAAAAAATTTAAAAAAATTCAGAGGCGGCAGAAAATCGAGAGGCGGGCGGTGACGCTAACCAAGTATTTTTTTTTATTTGGCCTAATTTGCGATTTTTAAGAATTATGTCTTCTTGTAAAGTCATTTATTTAAGGTAAGATCAAAGCATTATCTGTGATCCTTTTAGTTTACGAAGAATTTTCAGAAGATTTGACGATTTGTTCTTCTATTTATGTGGGCTCGTGTTTGATTTTATAAACCTGACAGTGCATAGTGGAATCATTGTGTTCAAGCTGTCGCTGATCAATATATTGATCAGACACTTTGCGTGTTGGTCACGGTGGCCAAACAGGCAACTCAAATAAAATTTACATCAATTCTAAACAAACAAACGGAAACAAACAAGAGCCATTCACATTGTGTTCTAAACAAACGAGAGCCATTGTGTTTAAAACAAACTAGAGCCATTGTACGAAGGTATCACCTGACTCAGAGTCTCAGAGCTACAGTATATATATAAAACTGCAAATTTTACAGACCTCTATTACTGCTGCTGATAGATAAGTTGCAGTGATATATATTGCATTTGGTTAAATGGGGGTAACAATTGAGCAGTATCGTGCCTGAATTGGTGCACATTTTAATAGTTATAGTGTGAGAAGCAGTGATCTATCAGGCATCAGACGTCCTTTTCTCGATAATATAAATATGTTGATACGAGCACCTGTATATGTGGATATAGACTCAGAGTAACACCACAAATATCATATTCACCTGAGTACACTACACCAACACAGAAAAAAATATTTGGTTTGTCCACACGGTTTGAGTGTTTGAAAATTGACATTTGAAATGAATGAGATATTAACTTTAAAACAATCATTGCATTCACTGTTTTACTTGGCCAAACAATCTATTAAAATTACATGTCGGTAGTTAAACCTACTTGTTATTAGAATGGGTAATAACCCATCAGCTGCCAATCACCTAGCCAAATACCGTAAACATCTGACTATAAGCCCTGGGATTATATACTTTTGTAAGCAATTTTTGACGGGTTTATACAAGGGGGGGGGGGCTTATATACGGGGGCTAATACATGGATGATTCTTTGTGTTAGTATTAAACAAGTCAGGCATAAGCAAGTCAGTCATAAACAGAAAAATAAACATGTATTAATAAGGTGCTTTGATTAACACAGTTGGCTATAAAGACAATGACCATGTTTTTAAATATCATTCTCTGCCCTACAGTCATTTTTTAGTTGAAAAGCCACCTTAAGTAGGGGACTACATGCAGTTCCATGAGTATGAGTATTTCCGCACACCGGAAGGCGCATGCATGCTGTGGTGCGTATGTCAACTAAAAAATGACTGTAGGGGGTCCCTTTAAAAGACAATGTCAATGTTGAATAACGTAGTGGGCTACTGGGCTTATATTCGGGGCACTTATATTTGGTGGTCTTATATTCGGGGGGCTATATTCAGGGGGCGAGGCTTATATTCGGCGGGGGGCATATAGTCGAAGGTTTACCATGACGACCCGCACGCCTATAAATTGAATTATCTTGAAGGTGTTAGTTACCACAGCATTATTAGTCGAGGTGGTAAGAGTGGTGATATGTATAATAAATTTATAGTGAAATAATTTATGCGTGCATGAAATTTAACCCCATAGATATGATGTAGCAAATAACTAACTGAGCTAACATACAAACCAGGTTGTCATCGCCAATTCATAATAATGTTAGCAGACAATGCCGCGCAAAGTTCAAATTGCGCCAAATGGTTTGAAAAAGAGTGCATTCTGCTTGACAATCGTGTGTATGGATTCAGGATGGAGATCAAGATCGAACAAACTGGCAATATTTTGATGGCTGCTTATTAAAGAATAAAGATTAAAGATTAATGCGAAGTATTTTCAATCAGTAAGGTTAGGTAATAGTCAAAAGGCTATAGCCTATAGGTATTGCAGCACGCATCAGTTATTATTTCTTTAGTATACAGTATGCTAGATACCACGGCTTTCAAGCAGGGCTATCACAACCGCGAGTTGATTGTACTACATTCGTTATTTAATATACTCATTTCTATATATATTTTGATACAAGGTAGCTCAAGACAAATAATATTTATTTACATATATATACCGGGTGGCGCAAAAAAAGTTCAGGCGTTTGATCTACCATAGCGAAAAAACTATAAGAGCTATACTTCGCTCAAATAAATGTAGCTGTATTCATAAAAGGCTAACTTAAATTTTGATAGGTTATACATGAGATATCACGAAATATTGACTGAGATGAGCGTTCAAATTAAACTTGCGTATAAGCATTTTCAAAAGAATCGAAAATTAGTCTAAAATGGCCCATTGAACTAAATTTGATATCATTCTCATTAGACATTACGCTGGGCATCGCCAGATTATTTCCCGGGCGAGCTAGTGATGAGTAAACGCGGAGATGAGCCGTACCCCTGGCTTTCAGATTTGACAATATCCCGCAATATTTTTGTGGCTATACCTATAGAGCATAGTTGAAATATCAAATTTGGAGTATGCCACATCGACAGCGCTAGGTTTTGGAATAATATCTAGAATACTTTTAGTGAAAACTCTTGTGTGTCAGAAAGATGTCCCATCTTTTGCTGACAGGTTATGAAGATGTCCCATCTTTTCTTAACCAGTGGAAGCTTAAAAGGAGTCTTATATTATTCTTTACATCAGGCTAAGTTAGAGTAAGGCGATGCAGCTTGCGCTATAGGTTTTGGAATAATATCTAGAATACTTTTAGTGAAAACTCTTGTGTCAGAAAGATGTCGCATCTTTTGCTGACAGGTTATGAAGATGTCCCATCTTTTCTTAACCAGCGGAAGCTTAAAAGGAGTCTATAATATTATTCTTTACACCACGCTAAGTTAGAGTAAAACGGCGCATGCAGCGATAGCGCTAGGTTTTGGAATAATATCCAGAATACTTTTAGTGAAAACTCTTGTGTCAGAAAGATGTCGCATCTTTTGCTGACAGGTTATGAAGATGTCCCATCTTTTCTTAACCAGTGGAAGCTTAAAAGGAGTCTTATATTATTCTTTACATCAGGCTAAGTTAGAGTAAGGCGATGCAGCTTGCGCTATAGGTTTTGAAATAATATCTAGAATACTTTTAGTGAAAACTCTTGTGTCAGAAAGATGTCGCATCTTTTGCTGACAGGTTATGAAGATGTCCCATCTTTTCTTAACCAGCGGGAGCTTAAAAGGAGTCTATAATATTATTCTTTGCACCACGCTAAGTTAGAGTAAAGCGGCGCATGCAGCGATAGCGCTAGGTTTTGGTATAATATCCAGAATACTTTTAGTGAAAACTCTTGTGTCAGAAAGATGTCGCATCTTTTGCTGACAGGTTATGAAGATGTCCCATCTTTTCTTAACCAGTGGAAGCTTAAAAGGAGTCTTATATTATTCTTTACATCAGGCTAAGTTAGAGTAAGGCGATGCAGCTTGCGCTATAGGTTTTGGAATAATATCTAGAATACTTTTAGTGAAAACTCTTGTGTCAGAAAGTTGTCCCATCTTTTGCTGACAGGTTATGGAGATGTCCCATCTTTTCTTAACCAGTGGAAGCTTAAAAGGAGTTTATAATATTATTCTTTACACCACGCTAAGTTAGAGTAAAGCGGCGCATGCAGCGATAGCGCTAGGTTTTGGAATAATATCCAGAATACTTTTAGTGAAAACTCTTGTGTCAGAAAGATGTCGCATCTTTTGCTGACAGGTTCTGAAGATGTCCCATCTTTTCTTAACCAGTGGAAGCTTAAAAGGAGTCTTATATTATTCTTTACATCAGGCTAAGTTACAGTAAGGCGATGACAGCTTGCGCTATAGGTTTTGGAATAATATCTAGAATACTTTTAGTGAAAACTCTTGTGTCAGAAAGATGTCGCATCTTTTGCTGACAGGTTATGAAGATGTCCCATCTTTTCTTAACCAGTGGAAGCTTAAAAGGAGTCTTATATTATTCTTTACATCACGCTAAGTTAGAGTAAAACGGTGCATGGCTGCATGCAGCGATAGCGCTAGGTTTGGGAATAATATCTAGAATACTTTTAGTGGAAACTCTTGTGTCAGAAAGATGTCCCATCTTTTGCTGATAGGTTATGAAGATGTCCCATCTTTTCTTAACCAGTGGAAGCTTAAAAGGAGTCTTATATTATTCTTTGCCTCACAACGCAGGCGCGGGCGTAGATTCCGTAGATTAGCTATAAGACAATGGTGTCAATGCAGCTATTGTTTTTGGAATAATATATACATTTGATATATACGTTGGTGTAAACGTTTGTACCAGATTCATGTGCGCACTAGGGCCTATAGGGAAAGGCGGTATAATTATATAACTTTATAAGTCAGTTTCTTTATTATTATGCACTAGTCAATCGAAAGCCCGGCCCCCCGACCCCCGGGACTAAGCGGGGATTTTAACATTTCACGGTTGTTAAAATCCCGGCTAAAAAATCTTGTTCAATTGTTAAAATCCCCGGGTTACTGGGCCTAAACATTTGGGTGTTTTTTTTTCAAATTTCCGCAGTTTGATAAAAAACCTAACATTAATATTTCCATTAAAACTCCGCCAAAGTTATAGAGAATAATACATGGGTGCGCGGAAATACCAGATTTATTTCGAGTGTTGAACATGATATCTCACGAGTGAGGGCAGCGAACGAGTGAGATATCATGTTCAACACGAGAAATAAATCTGGTATTTCCAAGCACCCATGTATTTTTCTGTTTATTATATAAACAAAATTCAGTGAAAAACAATAAAACGTCCGTGGCAATGCGTTTTACAACAAATGATATTTTCACACGTAAAAATATCGTATTTTTACGTGTGTTTAAATACGATTTTTCTCAGTGGCCAAAAACTGTATATAACACTTATGTTTATATAATAAAATACTTTACCTGGTTCGTTCTTTAAAAATTTCGTATGCATATTATAAAATTAATACAGGAGAATGGTTCAAATGAAGCCAATGGTTGTCAGATGCTTTGCTCCTTTGTAAAATAATACCGTTTTTAATTATTAAAGTACGCATAAGCCAGGTCATATATACCGGTATGTTAATAGGGTAAAATATAAATTCACGGTATAAACCAGGTAATACATCACTCAAATCATGCAAACAACAAGAGTAGCGCTTAATATCTTAATATAATAATTTCCCAAATAAATATATACAAAGTACAAACAAATCTAAGACTAGTGCACACGATCACTTTCCCGAGCGCTTTTCAATTGCGTTAAAAATGGCGTTAAATCCCCGGCTATGATGCCCCGGCTATTTAAGTCAGTGTTAAAACCCCGGGTAGCAAACAAGCGACGTTTGTTAAAAGCCTGTATTTCCCCCGCAAAGTCCCGTTAAAACCCGGTATATCCCCGGGGGTGGGGGGGCCGGGACTTCGATTGACTAGTGCATTAGCCATAGAAAACTTACGCCTTTGAAGCCGGACTTTTAGTATACTGCCAAGATCTAAAACGGCAAATATGTTCCGCGGTCTTGACATGGAATTATTGTGCTATTCTCTAAGATACCAAGAACGTTTTGTTTTACAACACACAAGTCTTAATATTATTACATATTATACGCAGCCTTATTACACATTGTACGCTATATAGTATAGCCTGGCCCTAGGTGACTTGTCAACAGTCAGCATTGTGACTTATTTGTACACTTTTATTTTAATGCATAACAGAAAATTAACTTATTACTTGCTTGGTTTCACACTGCGTCTAAGCAACTGAACCTGGATTGATGACATCTTATAGCCGTAATTAATAATGCGATTAGCGTTGCTCGCTTCCTGAAGTTGCAAACTCAGTTTGCAGATCCCGCTGTTTTTCAAAACGTGCTGGTCGTCATGGTATATAACTTTTTATTGGTACAGTATTGCAAGTTATTTCATTACAACTACTCAAAACCTCCTACAACCCATCACTATATTAGTACTATATATTCAAGACAATTAACACATTTGGTTGTGGATTACCTGCAATGCATTGCAGCTGCCACATGCTGCTGCCATATGATTCGTCATCAAAATGCTGACGCCCAGGGCCGTGCCACCTTTGGGGGGGGGGGGTAACACCCCCAAAAAAGTAAAAAAAGGGGCCCAACTTGTGGGGAAGGGGGCCCTGGCATGCTGGAATTGCAAAATTTTAAAAAATGAAGGATTTGTTCGCTAAATTATGGAAATTTCAGGGAAATGTTGTTTTGCGAAAGATTTTGGGAACTTTTGTTTTTGAAAACATAATGTTGACCCCCCTCCCCCCCCCCGTCGCCAACATTCTTCCTGGAATGGAAGGGGGCCAAATTTTGGAATACGCACCCCCCCAAACCAGAAACCGGTTGGCACGGTCCTACCCAGTGCACATGGAGGTCCACCATTTTTAATATTATCAGGGGGTGAATGCTTCTCAGCGCACTGGCTAGCACCATGGCGTCATTTTGATGACGAATTACGGTCATGTAACACTGACGTTGAGATGCGATTGGTAACCAGACCTCCATGTCAAACATAAGGTAATCAAAGCACTATTAAACTTTTTCGCAAGTTCACAACGCGAATACACGTACGGCAGCAATTTCACTAACTTTTTGTTATACTAGTTTCACAATTTTTCTTTATCTTTTTCGTTCTTGAAATATTTTGGTTGCTTATTAAATATGTAAATGAAAGAATCCATGACGTCACAGCACAGCACAGAATAATGATCCATACAGAAGGGCCACTTACGTCGGAAGCTTTGAAGTTTCTGTCCTCGCGCATGCCGCATTACGCATGTCGGCCGCCATTTTCCTAGCCTGTCAATGACATTTTCTGGCCAATAAACACGCTGTACTGGCTCAGCTGGCTCTTCCGCCTTCTGGCCAGTAAACTGCATATTTTTTGCATAAAAAAACGAGGACGCGTTGCACCGCTGAGTGGCCCTTCTGTTACTGATCTTTATTCTGTGGTCACAGAATGGTAAAATATTTTCAAACATGGTATTAAGGTATTAAAAAGTCATAAAGCTGACTGTTCAAAATAAATCAAATAATTTAAGTCTGTATGCATTCACTTCCAACCAAAGAAAGATAAACGAAATTTTGTAAGAGGACTTATCCTACAGTTTAAGGAGTTCTTTCTGTCTGAACATATTTAAATTTTGTTGATACTTTTAAAATTTATGATTCCCAATTAATATTAAGAATCCTTTTGATAGACAGACTTGATTACAAATGTGTTATATAAGCCCTAGTAATTCATTATTAAAACCTTCTGATTGGCATCCAGCCCAGTGCCTGGTTTCTGTCGAGTAATCGCAGACATTTTTTGCAAGCAGCTGGCATGCCAAGGGCGCTAATCCAACGGCTTCCCGAGTTTTCGCCGCTCAGTTGGTTGAACATGTTTCGAAGCGAATTTAAAATCAATTTTATATCAAAAGGACAAAGGTACGCATTACTTTAAAAATGGTTGTTTATTACTAATTCGCGTGTTGACTTTCAGGTTTCATAATTGTTCAAAAAATATAAACTAATTTGCATACGAAATGTTTATCATTTATAAATCAAGACAAGTCTTAGGATTAGACATTTGGCGTAGGGTTCTGTGTAGAGGTCTACAGTGCTACACCGGAACTTTTTCCTGCTCTTTGTCAAGTTTGTTTCCTGTTTAATTACCACAAAACATTGGATCACTCTGAACCAACTTTAATTCTGGTCTAATTTTACCACAGCGTGTCCCATGCTATTTTAGGTTCCACGTATTACCGGGAAAGCATGTTTCGATCTTAGAACGCTGTATCATGCATTTATGCTATTTGGTGGTCGTGGACTCGTGGTGGTCGACCAATCAATAATGTGTTTTCTACAATGACATATCATAAATATAGTGATAAATTGACAGTTGAAATACGAAAGGCTTAGCTATAGGTCGTTTTATTGCATATAAAAACGAATTGTTAGTATAGTACAAAGTATAGTTTATATTGGTTCACAAATTTTCCTAAAACCAAAAATATTGTGTGAGGTTGTGAAATATAAGTAGATTGCGTGAGGATAGTTAAAAATTCCTATATCATTGAGGATAGCGACATACATTCCTGTAGAATCTAAACCACGAGGACGTTCGTGTCATATTTCACTACACCAACCAATCAACCAATCTCAGTACGGTACCCTTATTACCCTACTTACCAAATTCATGGAAGCTTAGGTGCAAGCTGTTGACCGAGGTGGCCTGGGAACTAGTGGTGGTGCTTGGATTAAGGAAAGATCCGTGCAAGTGGACAATCTTGAACTGCCAACCAAAGGAGATGCTGAAATTTCAGTTATAATAACTTAATTAATTGAAATATGCAAAAATCACGAATGAATAACAAATGTATTGAGATTTATATTTGCATTGAATAGGCCATTTTATGCTACTTCAAAAACGCTTGTTCGATTTAAAACATTGACATAAAATATATCCATTAATACCCGCATCGTGAACCATCCTAACCTGTCAAAAATGTTTTGGAGTTTTTTCTTGTATATTTATCTTTTTCAACTCAAATTTCCTCTTGTATAATTTCCTTTCTTTTCGTTTTGAAATGGTTTTCACTTTTTAAATTAACTGTTGTCTATGGCGTTTCTGGGCCATGGTGAATTTGAGTTTTATTTTTATTTTGATTTGCGATTGATTTTACTTCTGTTTTGATTTCGTTTTAAAATAGTTTTCACTTTTAATAATTAAATATTTTTTAAAAAAATAAATAAAGAAAATACTATGACGGATCTGGGCCACCATACCCGGGCATGACTGCAGATTTAGCGTGTGCCAAGATTATAATGCTATTGCTGCTCAAACGAGATATTCCGTACACTGGAAACGTAGAGTACATTTTACTTTGTCTTTGACTGAAGAAAAAAAGTAAAAAGTTTAGTTAGTTAGTTAGTTAGTTAGTTAGTTAGTTAGTTAGTTAGTTAGTTAGTTAGTTAGTTAGTTAGTTAGTTAGTTAGTTAGTTAGTTAGTTAGTTAGTTAGTTAGTTAGTTAGTTAGTTAGTTAGTTAGTTAGTTAGTTAGTTAGTTAGTTAGTTAGTTAGTTAGTTAGTTAGTTAGTTAGTTAGTTAGTTAGTTAGTTAGTTAGTTAGTTAGTTAGTTAGTTAGTTAGTTAGTTAGTTAGTTAGTTAGTTAGTTAGTTAGTTAGTTAGTTAGTTAGTTAGTTAGTTAGTTAGAGTCTTTATTTCAAGAGGGTATTATGTAATAGTACAAAAGTACTAATAAACTTGTAGCCCTCAATTTCAATAATACAACAATTTCTAAAATACGAGTACACAAATTAAACTATCAATACAGTATATATCTATATTTACAAATTTACTTTAAAATTATGGTTCGGTATATATGAATACAATTACAAATGGCTAAGAGATTGTTGGTGTGCATGTAAAATTTCTACATATTTATTCTTAAAAATACGGACATTCAAATGCCGTCTTAAGTTTAGTGGTAGACTGTTCTAAAGTTTAATTGTGGTTACACTAAAAGTTCTACCACCTTCAGTTTCCCTTTTATACTTTGGACAGATGAAGTTAACTTCGGCGTATCTTGTATTTCTGCAATGTTGCTCACGATTTAATATTAATGTTTCACGTAAAAAGGAGCAGTCTCGCCATTTATGCTCTTAAAAGCAAATACAGCTTTATTTACTTTACTTTCTTCATAAAATGGGAGCCATTTCAACCGGTTAAAGAGGTGGATTGTCGATGACATGTAAGGAGCGTCTAAAATAACTCTCGCAGCCCTCTTTTGCAACTTAAACACCATATCCAGGTAGTCTTTTCGATAGTTTGTCCACACAGCACTCGAATACATTTAATACAATGACATGATTGTAATAAAGAAGTCTTTGATGCATAGGCAAGCAGCCCTTTATACGTTTCAAGGTTCCAATACGTTTTGCTAGTTTTTTTACAAATAGCATGGAAATGTTCATTAAAAGTCAGTTCTTCGTAAAAAAACAGTTTCGCGCTTGAAACTTGTTCATATTGTAAGTTCAATGCTTTTGTCTCCATTTTTGCAGATAGACGTTTTCCTGTAATTAACATAGCTTTTGTCTTTTTCTGATTCAAAGTCAGTTTTCTGATTCTGTTTACAAGATAAGAAAGTGCCAAAACGACCAAACGTTTCAGACATAGAAAACGAATCTTTGCATTGTTTCCACAATTTGGAACGTTTTTGCTTCCTGACGTCGTTTTCATGCGTTTTCGTGTAAACAGAACGTGAAAATGGTACTTTCAGTTTCAGAAACGCATTACAACCAAAAACGCACGGAAAAATTACCGTGTGCACATAGTCTGAGTAACGAGTGTGCAGACGCGCATCTCAGCAAAGTTATTCGAGTATCTGTACGTACGTAATTGCATTGATATTTTGTTTCAATATTTTCATGGACATTTGATGAATTTGACCTGTTTTATCCCCAGGCGCCGAATAGACAATTTATAATATTTTTTTTGTATTTTGAGCAGTCTTAAAACATTCTTAGTGGTGTGGATAGTGCTAACTGAGCTTTTGTACAACCCGATTTTCCAAACGTTTAAATGTTATGCGTCAGAATCGAAAGCGAGTAAAACGGATATGCAACCGATGATATCGATCTGGCGTTGTATGCGGTATGTCTTTCAAAACTGTAGGATGATCAGAAAACAAGTCCGTTCTTACGGCATGGTTCGTCTTTCTCTTGGTCTTCTTCTCATGCGCCTGTGGAGTCTTCTTGAGGATCTTGCGCCTCTGATGACTCAAAATGCTCTAGCTCTTTGGCTTTGACTGCGCTTTGCAGCCTCAAACGGATTAGCCGGTGCGTCTTTGTGTGCTACTCGCACTCGCTTTCCTCATGGCAATTTTGCTCGTGGCTCTTACGGTAATCTTCGTCAAAAATCGAATTGCATTCAAGACACTGAAGTTTTATTTAAGAGCAATCGAGCGAAGAACATGCCCGAGAACTAGGAACTGCTTATTTGTTAGCCGGAAAACGTGAGTTTCACATTTCAGTCTCCCGCCGATTTTCAAAAAATAAAAGACTAATACTATTACTAGAAATACATTTAGATGGTTTTGGCATAAGGCCGCACAAACCATTATAATTTTTTAAATCCAAAATTTATCGCTTTATTTATCGTCTTCGTTCTTAACTTTTACAATTTGCTGAATGCGATTTGCCGAACCGTAACGAAGCAATTTGCCGACTGGGCCGACTTGCGAAAAATATTGGGTGGGGGGTGAAGCACCCCCACACCCCCCACACCCCGCTCGCGACGGCCCTGTTCTTATTTTGTTGACAGCTTTATTTCTATAGCTTTATACTCAGACCAGAATTGATTGTTTTCAGTTTGCCTAGTTTTCTTTAACAAATTATCTCTTTTATGTAACGGATCCAAAATTTCCTTTGTCATCCATGGTGCTTGACTTTCACGAGAAACTCGCTTTTGCCGCCATGGAGCATGAGACTCAACTGCGTCATTAAATAGTGTTTCCCATGAATTCACAATATCACCTAAGTCTTCAAAAATAAATGGTATGTCCAGGGCCGCCGAGAGGGGGGCAGGGGGGGGGGGAAATTTCCCCGGCCCCAAGGCTTTGGGGCCCCTAGAAATTTAATGTTGGGCCCCAGTCCTTTTAACGGGCGAAATATTTCTGTTTTCGGAAATATTTCTGTTTTCGGCGGCCCTGGGTATATCCCAATTTACTTCGTTATGAGTGGATTTGAAATCGTTTTCATTGAAATGTTTCATGTTCCGATAGGTGATATTTCTTTTCCGATTCGGTGTTTTAGTGTGGTGAAACTTCCTAACAATGAATACGGGCAAATGATCCGATAAACCAATTTCACAAACACGCACTTCAGAAATCCACTGGGAGCAATTGCTATACACATGATCCAAGCAAGTTGAACTAATTGGCCGTGTAATAGACTTAATCATTTGTTCAAAGTTCATGCGTCTAAGGCCTTTGCTCAAATTGTGTTTGGAATAGACCCCACGTTTCATATAGTCAATATTGAAGTCCCCTAATAATATCGTTTCTCTATTTACCTTCTTTCTCTATCGTTTCTCTAAGTACCCCGTCTCAATGTTTTTCTCCAAACAGGCATTCAAAAATATACAACAACCGCGAGAGTTTCGCTATATTTCTTTGGGGAAATCATCAAATCAGGGGGAAATCTTCAAGTTTCAATGGAATTTTTGGTTAATCTGGCGCATGCGGAACAAATTTCCCACTGCCATGACAAAAATGGGAAATGTTGATGACAAAAATGGGAAATTTTGATTTTGAAAATGGAAGCACGTGTTTTGGGCGCCATATCCCATATGGTGTTGTTTGCAGACTGTGTCTCGGAATATTCTCATTTCTATGTTCGGAAATTCTATAAAAACCAAAGTATTATAAAGATTCAATAAAAAAAGACTAGAGGGAACAGTCGGGCGATATTTCTCATCGAAATTTGACCGCACGTGTGACCGTACGGCGAAAAGATCAACCGCTGAAACCATGTCTAGGAAATGCGAAGGAAATTTGGTGAGACATAAAAGAGCACGCACTGAAGACAAACCTTATGAATGTGATGTTTGTGACAAACGATTTTTACGATCAAGGTACTTGACGGTTCACAAGAGAACACACACTGGAGACAAACCTTATGAATGTGATGTTTGTAAGAAGAGATTTTTACGATCGAGCATCTTAGCTAGACATGAAAGAACACACACTGGTAACAAACCTTATGAATGCGATGTTTGTAAGAAGACATTTTTACGATCGAGCAACTTAGCTAGACATGAAAGAACACACACTGGGTACAAACCTTATGAATGTGATGTTTGCAACAAAAGATTTTCTGACACAAGCAGCTTAGCTGGACATAAAAGAACACACACTGGGAACAGACCTTATGAATGTGATGTTTGCAACAAAAGATTTTCATGCTCAAGCAACGTAGTTAAACATAAAAGAACACATACTGGAGACAAACCTTATGAATGCGATGTTTGCAACAAACGATTTTCACAGTCAAGCCACAGAGCAGATCACAAAAGAACACACACTGGAGACAAACCTTATGAATGCAATGTTTGTAACAAAAGATTTTTGGTGTCAAGCACCTTAGCTAGACATAAGAGAACACACACTGGAGAGAAACCTTATCAATGCGATGTTTGCAACAAACGATTTTCATACTCAAGCACCTTAGTTAAACATAAAAGAACACACACTGGAAACAAACCTTATGAACATGATGTTTGTTAGAAGAAATTTTCACAATCGAGCCATTTAGCCACGTATAAAAACACATACTAGAGACAAACCTTACGAATGTGACGTTTGCAGCAAGAGATTTGCAGAATCATGCAAATTAACACAACATAAGATATCAGCACACAAGAGTGACCAGATATTTGAGTGTGGTATTACGAAAGTCACCGAACTGTGGAATCGCATCAAAAATTCGTATATCGACCACTCCTACAAACGTCTACGACCGCACCTACATATTTTTGCATGTTTACAATTCTAATTTTAAACAGCCAATCGACGTTTAATTGTAATTGTTACCAAGAACCGGATTGGCTGTTCAAAATTAGAATTGTAAACATGCAAAAATATGTAGGTGCGGTCATAGATGTTTCTGGGAGTGGCCGATATACGAATTTTCGATGCGATTCCACAGTTCGGTGACTTTCGTAATATCTGCAAGAAAACATTCAGACAACAACAACAAAGTCTCAAACGCCAATGGAGAACACATTGAAGAGACGGCTTATTAGTGTGCGACACTTGTGGCAGAGAAGTTATTCAATCGCAAGGACAAGGACATTCTGATGAGATACTGAGTGATGATCATTTTGACTGTGACAAATGCAACAAACAGTTCGCTGAAATTCAAAGTTTAATTGAGCACAACGCCAAAGAGCATGGTACGTCCTACCAATGTGATGTCTGAAAGGAATTAGAAGCAAGGCAAGCAACTGGTATTGGTTATATCTGTTGTGTCTGCGATGCTGAGTATGAAATTGCCACCGAACTTGAAGATCATATGAGTATGCATGATAATGTGCTGCCTCACTAGCTAGGAAGATAATTTGAAAATATTTTGGGCAATCTGTTATGTTGAAATTTATCTTGAAATTGACTAGCGATTCTTTGAAATTGATCATCTTGTTTTGGGATTGTTTTTAAACTTGCTAAGTGCAGTATAAACTGCAGGGTGCGATAATTCAGGATTTTTAGTCGTGCCTGACTGGTATTGACTGGTACGCCAATGGTTGTTGGCGCGTACTTGCGCTAGTCTAGTGCAAACTCAGTACTCAATGTGTGCTTAGTCATTAAAATAAGGTTCATAAAGTACAGGTTTATGAAAAGTATGTACAGACTACGAGGTAGAAAAAGAAGCACAATTGCATACAGCTATTTCAATTAAATTTGTCCCCGACCAAAGCGGAAAAGTCGAATACGAGCGCGAAAGGCTGAATCGCTAATAAATTCATCAGTCTTCGTTAGCGATTCACAGCAGCCTTTCGCGCTCGTATTCGACTTTTCCGCTTTGCTCGGGGACAACCTTAATTGAAATAGCTGTAAACAAACAATCGACTTCAACGTTTCTTAGTGCCATCAGTCCAATAATGTTTCATGCCAAGACATCTCAGACACATGATATACTAACTAAATTACGGTATTGAATACCTTAGGCTAGGAAAGGTCACGTGGTAACGTAAGTACGCGAATTATCGCACCCTGTTTAATAAACACTGTTTGATACTGAAGATTATATTGATATTACGGTGATCATTGATAAGTTGATTCAGCGATGTATTTATGAACTAAGATCATTTTCTAATTATCTGTTGTTTTAGTTTGAAATTTTTAATACTGGCTTGTTTATAATGTAATAAAATGTGGTTAAATTATTATTACATTTTAGTGATATTACTTCATTTTATCATTGCAATATTATACATTTTGAAATTACTGTAATCACTTTATTACGCCGTCTTTAAATAATACCCCCACTCTAATAAGCGCCCCATACAGTAATTGTATTTGTAAAGAAATAAATTTATTAAGCTCCCCCTCTGTTTATCCAAAAAAACCTGAAGTCTTCAGATATAAAGATTTATTAAGTTTCTGTACATAAAATTTTAATTATAAAGAAAATTATACAATTTTACACATAAATAAATAAGCCCCCTCTCTTTTTTAAGCCTCTATTCAATGCATTCAATAATCTCCCTCAAAGGTTCCAGAAATGTAGGCTCCAAGGGGGTTTTATATCACAGAGATTACGGTAGATTTATTCTGATATCGATGTTGAGTTTTCCGAATGGATTAACTTATGAGAAAACTCGCTTCGCAATACATATAAGCCAACGAGGAGCTAGGGAGAGACAATTTTCTCACGCGGGAAAAAACGTTTCGTGCAATCAAATGATACACGATGACATATGAGTAAATTTCCTCTTGGCGGGAATTTTACAGCATTTTGGTTATGATTTTGTTTATTTCCCGTGAGTCTGAACAAAAACTTTATTTACTCGCTTTATATTGGGTACTAGCACAAAAAAAATGAAAAGGAGGGTCAACGCAGCGTGCGACTGAAATAAAATGTGATTGATTGGAATAAATGTTTCCTTCAATTATTACACAAGGACAAGGATAACGAAGTTCTTCTTCATCTATGTAAATTGGTGAGATTACTCTTTTAACCTTTTCAAAGATAGAATTTTGAGAGAAATACCTCATTTGAGAAAAAGCGACCTCTTTGCGCTTGAATATTAACGAAACTGAGAGGAAGTTGATCTGTCGCCGAATTACTTTAATTTACAGTTAAGAGGACTAATGGGGGCGTCGAAAATCATCCAAGTGAATGCAATTGAATTTAAATCGCCTGCGGCGAGTTAGTAGTAATATAGAGGCCGATCCGGCCTTTTTTTGTAGTGGAGTGTGGCGGAGTGTCATCATTATGTATGCGTTTAATATGTTGATGTCGTTTGAGATAGGAATTATGTCGTCAACGTACACAGCCAAAATCACGAAACTTATGAATCCATTGTCATTCTTTATGGATTTCACATAAATGCAATTATTTGCATTGCTCTTTCCATAACCGTTTTTCGTCAGAAAACTATGGAGTGTTTGGTTCCAACACGTCGCTGATTGCTTAAGTCCGTATAAGCTCTTCTTGAGCTTGCAAACGTATTCTGGATGTTCTGGGTCAACGAATCCATCCGGTTGGGACATGTAGATATCATGTTCTATGTATAGCCATTTAAAAATGCTGTCTTGACATCCATCTGACGAATTTCTAAGTTGTGCTTGTTTGCCAAAGCTAATAGCGTTCTTATACTGGAATGTCTTGCAACAGGTAAATTAAAGACTTCCTCGTAATCGATTCCGGGTGTCTGTGAATATCCCCGGGCAACAAGTCGTGCTTTATGCCGGTCAACATTCTCATCTACATCACGCTTGATTTTTATCACTCTGTTGCCTCCTATATAATGCAAGAAAATAAAGAGCCTGTTCAAATGCTATGATATATAATAGTAATATATAATAGAAACTAATTAAGCAACACTTTATACTAAATCCAGTTACAAATACATAGGTTCAGAAATCACACTTTCTTTATGCAAACAATATCCATGCATTGTCATTGTGCAAATAATACCACATAAAAATCTAACTAGTATATCTCTTTATCTTAATATTGTGAACACTACAGTATTTACCCTTCATACCTCAAATTTGTAAATATCTTGTATATACCTTATAAAACTTTTCTTCTGCATTTAATATAAAATATAATCTAAATAGGACATGACTAGTGGCCTAGAAACAAAAACCTGTAAAGGTTCCTAGTAGGTCTCTAGCCCAAATAGTTATTTTGTTATAATGTAATAACAATTGTAATGTACATGGGAAAATATTTTTAAAAAAACTACGCTAACCCCTACAGCGAAAGCTGATTTCCAAGGGGGGCGTAGATTTAAATAGTTAGTACTATAGTACTGCTAATACTTTACAAGACCCAGTTCACGATAACTTGGACCAGCGGCTACCCAATGCATTGACGTACGTAACATTATACGATACATTTTTATAGTATACCTTTATTAATTAATGGCTACATCTTCGTTAAGGGAGGGTTATGAAAACTTGCTTGTCTTCGAAAACGGCAACATTTTTATTTAGAATTTATTTAGTAAATAATCTATTGATTAATTTAATTGAAAGAGTTCCAGTGTTGGGAAATCACAGGTCAAAATTGTCATGAAGTTTCTTCTTTTATGGAATAAGCACAAACCCAGTATTCGAACATTTATATCACAGTTTATATGCCAGGACCATTCATTTCAAACGTTTAATGTTTTACGTAATTGTCACTTGAACAACGCAACACTTGCATGCAGTTCATGCAGCTCAGCTATATATGATATGTCCTTCGGCGTGCAGTTTGCTTTTCGAGCTATGCACCATCAGTAATTTACAGGATAGAAATTAAGTCTTATTACTCGTGCTCCAGGGGAGCTCGAGTCTAGGTTTCGTCCTGTTGAAAATTCGTGGGTCGCGTTTTGGACTTCGTTGTCCGCAAATTGATTGGGAGGCTGTTTTACCTGTGTCTGAAGATGTAAATCTTATTTTTGAGTCCTTTCATGCTAAAATATCTGGGACTATTGATAATCATGTTCCTTTAAGGCGACTCTCTAAGAAACAGGTGCGTTTGTTAGCCAAACCATGAATTACAAACGGCATTAGGGCCTCTATACAAATTATGAATAGACTCTATAAACTATATTTAAGGACAAAAAACAACTATTAATTTTTCTAAATTCAAAATATACAGGAATAAAATAAAACACCCGATTCTCCTAAGGAAAAAATCATATTGTAATGATTATTTTACAATTAACAGAAATAATATTATAAGAGACATGGAGGGGTATCAAGCAGATAATAACACTTGGACCATCAAATCGCTCTCTCCCTACCACGTTGAAGGTTGGAAATTTAGAATTATCATACTCACAAACTATTTCTAATGCTTTTAATAATTATTTTTCAACTATCGGCACTGACCTTGCCAAATCTATAGCCACAGTTGAAACCTCATTAATTTTGAAACTTTTTTAAGTCCTTCACTTTGCCATAGTTTTGTGCTTTTCCCTACAACTGCTACTGAAAGTTAAGATGAAATTAACAAACTTAATCCTTCCAAGTCAACTGGACCTTTTAGTATCCCCACGAAATTATTAAAAATCCTCAAATTTCTTTTGTCTCGCCCACTGACATACCTTTTCAATTGTTCATTTTCATCCGGTGTTGTACCTGATAGGATGAAAATAGCAAGAGTTATACCAGTATATAAGAGAGGGCCCAAACATATTGTCTCAAATTATCGATTGCTTTCAATTTTTAATACAATTTTAGAAAAACTAATGTACAAAAGATTGCTAATTAAGTTTCTTGAACAAAACCAAGTTTTGTTCGATGGACAGTTTGGTTTTCGTTCTAATTTATCAAAAACTCATGCAATTTTGCTCATTACCGATAAAATTCAAAAAGCAATTGAAAACAAACTTTATTCATGTGGTATTTTTCTAGACCTAAGTAAAGCTTTTGACACTATAATCATGCCATTTTGTTAAAAAAACTTGAAAATTATGGAATTAGAGGAACAGTAAAAGATTGGTTTTGTTCCTATCTCTAAAATAGGAAACAGTTTGTTAATATTGGCACTGCAACATCTGCAGATTATACGAATTTATTACCTGTGATGTCCCTCAGGGATCTGTACTTGAACCATTATTGTTTTTATTATATATAAATGATTTCAATAATTGTGCAAGTGAAATAGATTTTCATTTGTTTGCTGATGATTTTAATCTTTTTTGTTGTCATAAAAGTCTTCAGTATTTAGAGACAAATTTAAATAATCAATTATGTAATGTTAATGAGTGGCTTTGCGCTAACAAGCTATCTCTAAATATTGACAAATCTAATTTTGTTCTTTTTTATCCACCTCAAAAAACTCCTGATATCTCTATTAGTCTTAAAGTTAATGACCAAGTTATTAAAGAGAAAAAAAAGCATTAAATATTTAGGTGTTTTTATTGACTGTCACCTAAATTGGAAGGATCATACACACGAACTTTCAAAAAAGATTTCTAGGGGTATTGGTGTTTTATTAAAACTCCGTAATTTTGTCTCTACGCATATTCTTTGCAAGTGTATTATTCAATTATTTATTCCTTTTTGACATATGGTATTTTGATTTGGGGAAATACTTATAAAACAAATTTACACCCTTTGATGGTTTTACAAAAAAAAGCTATACGTATTATTACTTTTTCTGATTTTCAAGCACATACTTCACTCCTTTTCAAAAAACTCAATCTTTTAAAATTTATGGACATTGTTGACTTCTATACTGCCACATTTATGTTTCAGTACAGTAAAGGCAATCTCCCAGTCAATTTTGATGTATATCTTAATCCAATTTGTAACACGCATTTGTAAAGTACCCGTGTTGTATCTAGATCAACTTTTTCCTTACCACCTATTCGCGCGAATTATGGTCTATTTAATATTCGATTTTGTGGACCTATGTTATGGAACAATATTGATGAGTCACTAAAATCTTTAACTGAATTTTCTTTTAAAAAGGAATTTAAAAATCAGATAATCGCCTTCTACTAGAATCAAATTCATTTATCCTTAAATGATCTATTTATGGTATTAGTATCTATATCTATTGGCTCAGTGTGTTTTTCTTTTTTTTGTTATTGCATTATGTTGTATTGTAACTGGTATTGCTTTTTGTTTTGAAATTATGTAAATTTTCTTTGAACTAGCTGCTTCTTGTTATTCAGTGTTATTTTTCGGTTATATAATTTGAAGGTCACCTGCCAAGTCTAGCTCCTTAATAGTTATTGCAGGTGGTCTATACTCACTTCTTGTAAATTTCTTCTGTAATTTCTGAACTCTTTGTAATTTCTGAGTATTAATAAAAAATTTTGTTGTTGAATGTGTCAAGTGATAACAACATCGAACAATTCGAATCAATAGCTACTACAACCTAGTAGCTGTTTTCGTCGAAAACCTAAAACACTGCAGTCTGTAAATTATATACAACCCGAAATTGAAAGTATTTTCTATAGTAATAGAATGTACTTGAGTTGTTCGATCTGTTTGGTTACGATGTCTGGCTTCGTAGACTTCGAACCATTTGAACGATTTTTAGGATATATATTATCACTAGCTGATACAGTGATACTGAAATATTGTATGGAATCAACACAGCATAACATATGATATAAATGTATTAGTATAATAATAATATTTATTCTATACAGGATATACATACAACAAACTAACACTACAGATCTACGTTACATACATAAACCCATATGATTTATACATAAACCCAAACGATTTTTGCATTCAGGCAATTTAGCGGTTCATAAGAGAACACACACTGGAGACAAATCTTATGAATGTGATATGGTTGTAAGAAGAGATTTTCACAAGTGAGGTTATTGAGGCACTTAGGTACACATAAAAGTTTACATACTACAGACAAATTAAACCTTACAACTGTTTGAGAAACTTGTTTGTTCGCAACTCAATATATTTTTAACCAAAAATAATATTCAGGGCCCATGTCAGTCCGGTTTTCGAAAAGGTCACTCAACCACAACAGCTCTTCTAGAAAATACTGATTCATGGCTACTGAATATGGATGCTGGGTTGATAAACGGTGTTCTTTTCCTTGATCTATGCAAAGCATTTGACACAGTTAATCATAAAATTCTTATTAAAAAGTTATTTATTTATGGAATTCGAAACAAATCCCTAGACTGGTTTAAATCATAGTATTTGCACAATAGAAAACAATTTTGCGTGGTCAATAATGCAACATCGTACACAAAAAAAGTAAGTTGTGGGGTTCCACAAGGATTAAATCTTGGTCCTCTTCTATTTTTGTTATATGTGAACGATCTCCCAAACTGTATGGAGACTCACATGCAGCAATGTTTGCTGATGATACAAATATTACAGTGCGTTCATGTAGTTTAATTCATGTGGAAGAGGTCTTAAATAGTGAATTGGAAAATATTCATCACTGGCTTCTTTCAAACAAATTAACGTTAAATGTAGAAAAAACGGAATATATGATCATTGGAACACGTCAAAGGTTGAATAATCTTTCTCAAGACATTAATGTTTCTATCGATGGGAAAGTATTAAAAGAGGTTGAAACCAAAAAGACCTTAGGCGTATTGGTTGACGAACATCTGTGCTGGGATAAGCAGATTGACAACATCAGTAAAAAAGCTTCAAAGCATTGGCAAGTTGCGCCGTGTAAAACCCTATGTTCCAACCAAAATTCTTCAACATCTTTACCAAGTCCTAGTTCAACCACACTTTGATTACTGCTCAATGGTTTGGGGTAACTGTGGTGAATATTTAAGAGGGAAGCTTCAGAAGCTTCAAAACCGAGCTGCTAGAGTTATTACCGGCGACCCATATGAAACACGCTCGATTGATATTTTAAAGAAACTAGAATGGAAAACGTTAAGTGAAAGAAGGAACGAACAACAACTAGAATACGTATCAAAAGCTCTTACATGCCAATGTCCTAAGAACATTTCGGATATGTTCACATTATCCAACTCTGTAAGATATGAATTACGAAGCAATAAAAACAAGTTGATGTTGTCCAAGCCAAAAACAAATTCAATGAAACGTACTTTCGCTTACGCTGCTGCTAAAGTTTGGAATGAGAGAAATAAAAACTCTTGAATTATCTTTTATCTTATTTGGGTGGGGTTTGAGTGCGAAGATTTTACTGTTATTATATGGGGAGGGTGGATGGGAGTTTCTTATACTGTTTGTAACTACACGGCCTAATGAAAAGCAACGAAAACCTTGTAAATATTTTATAGTTGATTAGCTACCGTATATAAAGATGTTTTAATAATAATAATAATAATAATAATAATAATAATAATAATAATAATAATAATAATAATAATAATAATAATAATAATAATAATAATAATAATAATAATAATAATAATAATAATAATAATAATAATAATAATAATATTATTAATAGAACATTTATAGATATATACAATTGTAAATCTCACTTCTTGAGGTAACCTACAATTGACTACTTGAATCACTTATACGTGGTTATAGTTTTATATACAAAAATTGTTAATTATTTATAGAAATAGTTACTTTAAATGTTCATTAGTTCGGGATTTGTCCATTCTTTATTTCTACAGCAAATAATAATAATAATAATAATAATAATAATAATAATAATAATAATAATAATAATAATAATAATAATAATAATAATAATAATAATAATAATAATAATAATAGAATCACACAAGTTCAGACGACATAACATACCAGCAGACAAGAGAAATCAGAGTTTTGAGTGTGATAATTGCAAGAAAACATTCACTGAAAAACAATAAAGTATCAAACGCAGGGCTCGAAATAGCGGGCTGCAATGGCCAAAAGTAAGTCATATTTTAGAAATGGCAGGCAAAAACAAATTTGAATTGACCAAGTCAAGAAAAATGGCAGGTGAAATTCTATAGATACTGTATAGTTTCATTCCATTTGCTTACCACAACTCATATATACTAGATCATTTTAAACAATTGCTTCTTTAGTTGAGTAAATACATTTATGTTTGAAATGTAAATCCAAGTTTACTGTTGTAAAATAGACAAGTTTAATTTAATTAAAAATAACAAAAATGCATATCATGAAAACATTGATTTTTACAATATGACTCCTATAAGACATCGCCATTTTGGCATTTCAATGAATAAAAATGGCAGGCTAAAATTTATTTCATCTGCCAAAAAATTTTAGACTGGCAAGCCATATTTTTTCTCTACTTCGAGCCCTGAAACGTCACTGGAGATCATACTTGAGAGATGGCTTATAGCCTTATATAGTTGTGCCATACCAGTTGCCAAGAAATTATTCAAGGTCAAGGACATGCTATAAATGACACACATGATCAAATTGTCTGTGACAAATGGAACAAACAGTTCCCCTAATAATGAAAGTTTATATCAGCACAAGACCAAAGGGCAATTGTACGTCCTACCAATGTGATGTCTGTAAGGAATTAGAATCAAGAGAAGCAACTGGTATTGGTTATTTCAGTTGTATCTGCGATGCCGAGTTTGAAATTACCGTTGAAATTGAAGCTCATATGAGTATGCATGACAATGTGCATTGCTAGCTGCCCCACTAGCTGGGAAAGATGAATTGAAAACATTTTGTGTGATATGTTGTGCTAAAAAAAGTTTTGAAATTAATCTGGCTTTGCTTGAAATTGATTAACTTGTTTTGGAGTTGCCTTTAAATTAAACTTGTTCGATATAGTATAACTGTTCAGATTATGGAAATTGTTGGCGACTTAAAGCTGGATTATGCAACCAGTGAGGCTGTAACAAACTTGAAAGACAAGATGACAAAATGGTTTGAAAAATTTCTTGTTCTCTACAAAGCTAAAAATGTTACAGCCCATATGCATGCCATGTACCATCAGGTTCCATGCAGAATTCCTGAAACTTAATGGTAATTTAAACATATACAATCAGCAGGGAATGGAGAAGTACAACGATATTGCTTCAAAAGACTACCTCAGATCATCTAACCATCGATATCAAGGAGTTTCAGCTATAGAGCAAAATTTCCTAAAAAAACAAAGAGTTCAGTACTTTGAGAGTTCTGGTTGTCAAAGGGTTAAGCAGGATCATTATTGTGGGATCGGAATTGCTCAGCAACTGGTCATACTATCAAAACTTGCACTGCTAACTGCCGGACATGTTATACTAAAACATTTTTGTGCACACCTGGTTAAGGTGAATAGAAAATGGGAACCAAGATGCACTCTAAATTTATAGTACTTCTATGAACAGCTTAGTACACATAATTGTTCTGATTTAATCATATTTATCTACAATACATAAAACAATAATAACCTGAAAAGTGGCTTAAATGTGTATTATATGTCCAGTTTGTCTAAAGCGCAAGGTACACAATTCCTGATTGGCATTGTTACAACATTAAATTTACCATTTTATGGTGTGTTTAGCACTTAAACTGTGAGCACATGACAGGAAATAGAAGAAAGTTAAGGCTTATGTCATAAGCATGCAAATCAGGTACTGTGTAATTGGGATCTTATTAGTGATATACATACTAAACGTAAACAAGCACTTTGTTTGTGACCTAAATTAGCTTTTTCAGTTTCGCCATAGGATGGAATGGAAAAACATTCCTGGAACTATAACTCTGCTATACATCTAAATAAATTGTGTTAAACAACTTATACCAGACAAAGTAATTGTTGGCTATGCATAGTGACTATAGTCGTTTATACTTAATAGTCGGTTATGATTGCGACTGAATCTCTACTGTTTCACCGAGTTCTGACAAATCCCTGTGCCAAATCAAGGTAAATTTATATTCAAATTCCGGCATGAACCATGTTTTTATACCCATTACTGTTTCCATCACCACGAACAAAGGTGAAAACAACTTGATACCCATCCTGAATTTCAGTTTCACTTCAAGAAAGACTCAATGGCTTTAATTAATGAACGTATGTATGGGGCTTCGGTGGCCAAGTGGCTAGCGCACTTGCCTTTCACCTCTGAGGTCGCAGGTTCAAGCCTCAGTAAGAACTTTCTCAATGCGACTCGAACCCAGTATTCACGCGAAAAGAATACAGTCAACGCTCTGCCGAAAGTCGCGGGTTTTCCCCGGGTACTCCGGTTTGGTTAGGTAAAGAGAGCGCACAGTAATTGGCATATGCCGTTGTGGTGACCCTGCCCTAGTTGGAAAATTAGCTAAATAAATAAATAAATAAATCAGTACAGAGAAATTAAGCGAACATTGTATTCTGGCCTTAAGGACGACCCAGAAAATCGGATCGAAATTCCTGTAGATTACGATGTCTTTAATGAAGGTATGGGAAGCTGTGCTTCTCTTACCCGTCAGAGGGGAAAAGAAATTTATGCCATCACTAATAATGAAGTATTGGATTCCTTTTTTGGATTAAACTGGAACGAAAGGATTATCAATGAACAGGGAGACTTTGCATATGTAGAACCAAAAACTGTAAGGTTTGGTTAACAAAGAGAAGACCAATAGTTGAATTTAAACTGATGGGTAACAAGTACATTTGTCTCGCTGCATGAAACTCAAAATTTCGGTGTTTTGAAGACCTTGCCTTATATACGTTTGCAAACGCTATTTTAATTCCTGGTCATTTTGCCAAACGCCATGTTGACAAACAAAATGCACACTCTCCCATTCCCATTCCCATCACCCCACCAGCCCCCCCCCTCCCGTTACCGTAGTACTCGCAATGCATTGTGGTCTATGGCCGTTGTGGGCCATGGTAAATTTGCATTTTATTTTTATTTTGCGATTAATTTTACTTTTGTTTTGATTTCGTTTTGAAATGGTTTTCACTTTTTAAATTAATTGTTGTCTATGGCGTTTCTGGGCCATGGTGAATTTGAGTTTTATTTTGATTTTGATTTGCGATTGATTTTACTTTTGTTTTGATTTCGTTTTAAAATAGTTTTCACTTTTAATAATTAAATATTTTTTTAAAAAATAAATAAAGAAAATACTATGACGGATCTGGGCCACCCTACCCGGGCATGACTGCACATTTAGCTTGTCAAATGTCAGCCTTCTTTTTTGTGCCAGGATTATAATGCTATTGCTGCTCAAACGAGATATTCTGTACACTGGAAACGTAGAGTACATTTTACTCTGTCTTTGACTCAAGAAAAAAAGTAAAAAGTTTAAACAGGCATTCAAAAATATACAACAACCGCGAGCGTTTCGCTATATTTCTTTGGGGAAATCATCAAATCAGGGGGAAATCTTCAAGTTTCAATGGAATTTTTGGTTAATCTGGCGCATGCGCAACAAAGTTCTGGCGCATGCGCAACAAAGTTCCCAGCTGCTATACAATCTAAGGAATTTAGAGAAATTTTGATGACAAAAATGGGAAATTTTGATGACAAAAATGGGAAATTTTGATTTTGAAAATGGAAGCACTGTGTTTTGGGCGCCATATCCCATATGGTGTTGTTTGCAGACTGTGTCTCGGAATATTCTCATTTCTATGTTCGGAAATTCGATAAAAACCAAAGTGTTACAAAGATTCAATAAAGAAAGACTCGAGGGAACAGTTGGGTGATATTTTAAATCGAAATTTGACCGCACGTGTCACCGTACGGGGAAAAGATCAAAAGCTGAAAAACCATGTCTAAGAAATGCGAGTTGTGCAACAAGATGTTTTCACAGAGAAGCTCTTTGCTAAGACATAAAAGAACGCATACTGGAGACAAACCTTATGAATGCCATGTTTGTAACAAACGATTTTTTCAATCAAACCACTTAGTGGAACATAAGAGAACACACACTGGAGACAAACCTTATGAATGCGATGTTTGCAACAAACCTTTTTCACAGTCAAGCAATTTAACGGTTCATAAGAGAACACACACTGGAGACAAACCTTATGAATGCGATGTTTGCAACAAACGATTTTCACAGTCAAGCCACAGAGCAGATCACAAAAGAACACACACTGGAGACAAACCTTATGAATGCAATGTTTGTAACAAAAGATTTTCAAAGTCAAGGAACTTAGCTGAACATAAGAGAACACACACTGGAGAGAAACCGTATGAATGCAATGTTTGCAACAAACGATTTTCATGCTCAAGCACCTTAGTTAAACATAAAAGAACACATACTGGAGACAAACCTTATGAATGTGATATTTGCAAGAAGAGATTTTCACAATCGAGCCATTTAGCGTCCCATAAAAGAACACACACTGGAGACAAACCTTATGAATGTGATATTTGTAAGAAGAGATTTTCACAATCGAGCGACTTAGTGTCCCATAAAAGCACACACACTGGAGACAAACCTTATGAATGTGATATTTGTAGGAAGAGATTTTCACAATCGAGCCATTTAGCTAGACATAAAAGAACACACACTAGAGACAAACCTTATAAATGTGACGTTTGCAACAAGAGATTTACAGTATCACACAAACTAACACGACATAAAATATCAGCTCACAAGAGTGACCAGAGATTTGAGTGCAGTATCTGCAAGAAAACATTCAGACAACTACAAAGTCTGAAACGCCATTGGAGAACACATTCAAAAGACGGCTTATTAGTGTGCAACACTTGTGGCAGAGAAGTTATTCAATCGCAAGGACAAGGACATGCTGATGAGATACTGAGTGATGATTTTGACTGTGACAAATGCAACAAACAGTTTGCTGATATTCAAAGTTTAAATGAGCACAAGGCCAAAGAGCATGGTACATCCCACCAATGTGACATCTGTAAGGAATTAGAAGCAAGGCAAGCAACTGGTACTGGTTATTTCTGTTGTGTCTGCAATGCTGAGTTTGAAATTGCCACCGAACTTGAAAATCATATGAGTATGCATGACAATGTGCTGCCTCACTAGCTAGGCAAGATGAATTGAAAATATTTTGGGCAATATTTTGTGTTGACAGTTATCTTGAAATTGATTGAAATTAAATTGTTTTGGGATTACTTGTTAAATACAGTATAAACTGTTTGATATTGAAAATTATATTGATATTACGGTGATGATTGATATGTTGATTCGGCGATGTATTTATGAACTAGGGCTATTAAAGCTCATTTTCCAATTATCTGTTGATACTGTTTAATACTGATTTGTGTATAATGTAATAAAATACCGTATATATATATATATATATATATATATATATATATATATATATATATATATATATATATATATATATATATATATATATATATATATATATACTGTATATATATATATATATAATATTTTAACTTAAAATTGAGTCACAACTCTGAGTTTCACGCTGAGTGCGATCATCAGGTGACGGTGTTACAAGTGACGGTTCAATCCGATTGAACGATCGATTGAACCGAAATCAATCGATTGAACCGTCACTTGTAACACCGTCACCTGATGATCGCACTCAGCGTGAAACTCAGAGTTGTGACTCAATTTTAAGTTAAAATACTATTTGCTCTGTTAAATTCTTGATGTTGAGCACTCTTTTTACACTATATAATTGAAATATTATTATTATTGTTTATATATATATATATATATATATATATATATATATATATATAGTACAATCTGCAGACATGCATGTTTCGGCGTTCAACGCCTCGTCAGTGCAGCTTGGTACACGTCTAGATACGTGAGACAATCGTATTTATACCCCCATGAACTTGCTCTCACCAAGGCATGTGTTACAACACGGTGACTCAACGCATCCAGACATGCGCAGAGCGTAATGGAGCCAGAGTGCTCAAACGACCACAAGGGAAGTGAGCTTTGCATTATCGCTAATAGACATCCATTAACAACTCCGCAGAGTGCTCAACAACACCGAAGTGAAGATATATAGATATAGATATAGATATAGATATAGATATAGATATAGATAGAGATAGAGATAGAGATAGATATACAGGGTGTATCAAAAAAAGCGCAATCCTCGACTGAAATGTAAATTGCTAAACAAATAATAGACGAAAACGTTAAAGTTTACATTCATTTTAAAGCGTAGCCATTCAGCTTTCTAACAGTGGGTTGTTTCTTAAATTTGACTCATTGGTTCGCGGGTAATAATACTTTACGTTATTGCGATTGGAGATTAAAAAATTGAGATGGAATAACAAATCGTTCTCATGAAAATAACTGATTTTTTCATTAAAACAAAAAAATGTTGCATTTTATTAAATGGATTGTAACAATAAGTATAATTACGGCTTTTCTTCCACTATTTTTAACTCAGTTTGAAACTTCAAATGCGATATAATTTTGGCTATAATTCTTGCTATAATTTCTGTTTACATTACATCGCAATTCGATGACACTCTGGCGGGCTCAGACACCAGAATGTTTTGACGATTCTCAGCATTCGTTTAGGATTTTCAAACAACCTGATCTCTTTTAAAATGCTTTTAATTTGTTCTTACGTGGTTTTCCAGATGTAGTGACGACAACATTAAAGTTTAAAGAAGAAAATTCTAACATTTAAACCGACTAAACAATAACATAGTAAACTTGCATAATTAAACAGCAACTAAAAATGATAGGTTTTACTAAATCTTTTCGTGTGCAATTATTACTAGCATTGGAGACAAGGATAATAGTTTGTTTGAAAGAGAAAAGAACAGGCTTTGAAGTAAGCCTAAAAGCCTTTAACTAGAAATAGTATTTCGAAAGTTATTAAGCACAAAAGATGAATTGCGTTTATTTTGATACACCCTGTAGATATAGATGGAGGTGGAGATGGAGATGGAGATAGATAGATAGATAGATAGATAGATAGATAGATAGATAGATAGATAGATAGATAGATAGATAGATAGATAGATAGATAGATAGGTAGAGAGATAGGTAGATAGATAGATAGATAGATAGATAGATAGTTTAATTAATTAATTAAAAACATTACAACCCACGGGTTGAAATACGCTTCTAACTTTACAATAAATATTTACTTTATCTAAAATACATTGTAGAATTATGTTGTATAAAACTATTTTTAAATCTAGTCGTCCTACTAACAGAAACGTTGAAAATGTTCTCTTTCCTTATATAAATATTTATTTTATCTAAAATACATTGTAGAATTATGCTGTATAAAACTATTTTTAAATCTATTCGTCCTACTAATAGAAACGTTAAAAATGTTCTCTTTCCTTATATTATAATTTGAAAAGTTCTTACTTGGTAGTAATTGGTAAAGCTTATGACTTTCGTCATTTGCAATATCATTAAATAGTGTAGTAGTTAGGATTTGTCTTCTATTAAATAATGAGTCAACTCCCGCTTCTACCAAAGCTTCTGCATAAGGTAACATGTTGGGAAGATTATATGAAGGGCTCGCTTCTGTAACTTCTCCAGATCTTCGCATAGGTAATTGGGTAAGGAGTCGTGGAAAACGGGACAAGCATATTCCATCACAGGACGCACACAGGTCAGGTAAAATGTTAGTAAATCCTTTCTACAGATTTTTGTTCTTTTTAGTTGACAAAGAAAGAAGAGTCTTGTTGAAACTTTCTTTACAATCTCTGAGATGTGGGTATTCCATTTAAGGTCGTTCGTAATTCACATGCCCAATATCTTTGCAGAAGGGACAACTTCGATTGGTTTATTATTAACATACACGGGTGTAAACGTACGCCCGTTTCTTGCAAAGGTAATTTGAAGCTCTTTGCATTTCTCTTCGTTTAACTGAAATTTATTTGCAGTTGATTTCCTTATAAACTCATCTACCTGAGATTGGATGCTGCTGGTTTCATGTTTAAGGACAATCTCGGAGATGGTAGTATCGTCCACATACTTCCATAAATCTATATCCGCTATTTTTAGGTCATTTATCATTATAGCAAAAAGCCAAGGACCCAATTTAATCCCTTGAGGGACGCCTGCCGGAACCAAACCCCATTCGGAGTGACAATCTTGGCTTAACTTGACGCGCTGTTTACGGTCTTTGAGAAAATTAACGATCCACCCAATTATTCGCTTTGGTATTTCAAAGGTAGTAAGCTTGTCTACGAGAATACCATGATCGATTAAGTCAAAGGCTTTTTTGAAATCAAAAAGGACAACCCGCACCATAGAACCGTTTCCGTCCGTTTGTTTTTTCCACTTATGTATCATGCTTATTAGCGCATGAGTCGTTGATGATTTGGGAATCGTTCCAAATTGATTTATGTCAATCTTACTAAGGACAGCAGGTTTAACAAAATTTTCGACAACGAATTCCTCCGCCACCTTTGATACAACAGATGTTAATGAAATGGGGCATAGGTGCTTATTCACGTCTTTTACGGGTTTCTGCTTTGGAAGAGGGACAATATCCGCTTCTTTCCACGACTGCAGAAGACAGCCATTTCTATACGAAAGATTCAAAATCTCTTTTACAGGATCGGCCAGTAGATCAGCATTTTCCTTTAGAACCCAGTTGGGTATCCCATCTGGACCACTGGCCTTGGCTGGATTCATTTTTGACAATTTCATCAAGACCTCCTGCTCCGGAACCGTAAAACCAGGTTCATCGCTGCCGAAATCGGTACAAGCGAAAAAGTCACTGGCTAAAGGGGAGAAGTTATTCATAGGAGAAAGAAAGATTCCATTGATAATGTTGGCAAGATGTTTGGTACTAGTAGCTGTCCCATTTAGATTTTCTAACGACTTGTACACCTCATTTTTAGAGTTGAAAGCCGAGTTCATTCCACTCAATTTCTTGACTTCTCTCCACCAGTCGGAAGATTTGCAAATTGTTAGATGTTTGACCTTCGCTTCGTAGTATTTAGAACGACATTTTTTCCGCTCCCAATTCACGCAATTACGGAGCCGCTTGAATTCTTCTAAATTTCCACTATTCAAAGCTTTTTGTCGTTTTCCTATAAGGTCTTTCAAAGAGGAAGTCATCCACACTGGCTCATTTGATATAACTGTCCTAGTTTGCAAGGGCATAATGAAATCGAGGCCAATCTTAACAATTGTTTCCAGCATCGAGACTTTATTATCACATGATTGCACCGAATTAATTAAATTGGAAACATTTATTTGTTCCAGATAGGACTTCATTGCATAACGTTTACTTGGTCGCATATCCCTCGACTTTACGATTGATTTAACAACCTTGTCCTGTCCTCGTTTTTTAGGTTTCACTACAATGGTAACATGGTCAGATAGGCCAAAGGGGGACATCTTAATTGGTTTTTCATAGAACTTGTCTAAGTTGGTCAGCACCAAATCGAGAGTATTTTGACCACGGGTGGGAAAGTTGACAGTTTATATTAGATTAAAATTGGTATTTAGTCTTCTAACATTTAGTTGATTAAAATCACCCAGAATAATAATACCGCAACCAAAATAGTTCGCAAACTATTAATAATACCGCAACCAAAAAACCGCAACCAAAATAGTTAATATATATATATATATATATATATATATATATATATATATATATATATATATATATATATATATATATATATATATATATATATATATAAAGTCCGGGTTTTCTCAAGGGCGAGTCTATAGTCTCCCTCTCAGGCGATCTTAGAGCTCTAACCCTCGCTAACTAACGAACTAGCGAGGGTTAGAGTTATAAGAACGTCTGCGAGGGAGACTAGGGTGAGTCCGGATCTTCCGGAAAAGGGTGGCCGCTGGCACTTTCTGCCGTCGTTCGTTCGATACCGGTTGGTAAGTCACCTATACCTCACCACTCGCCTCTGACGATGACGTTGAGTAGCACGAGACGGACTTGACCGATACGAGCTAGCAGAGTCCGGAAGTATGGACTGATGAGGCAATTTTCTTTTTAAAAATGTTATTTGTTTTACCCCAATTTGATATAAAACAGATCTTCTAATTTACCGATCAAGTGAATTGTAAGTAAAAAAGTTAGCAGTGTGTTTTGTGCTTTTTATCTAACTTATAAAAATGTATCTTTACTACTTGTTTATGTTATATCAAATTTAAAAACACAACTAAAAACATAAAATTAAACTATTTCAAGTTCTAAACTTTAAATAAGTTCCACGCCAGGTTACCAGCAATTTCGCCATTTTGTAGGTGCCCGTCTATTTTCTGGTCCGCCTTCATTTTAACCAATCAGATCACGATCCAAAAATTAAAAAGCTCGTAATCTCATTTGCTAAATGAAGTGATCCATTAATCTATGGTTAATCCCACCAAGCTTGGAAGAGTTTGGGTTATAAAATTAGGTGGCCAATTAGCCTCCTCCGCAGGCAACTCTTGCTTCCCACTCCCAAATCCCAAATATATACCGACCTTTCTACCAGAAGAGAATTGAATTTATCCCACTCTATCAAACGCCCGCCCGTATTAACACCCTATAAAACAACATTTGTATCGCAATGTCCCCTTATGTTTCCTAATGTAGTCATACAAATTCCAAATTCGAAAAAAATATTGTCTCTTCTGGTTGAAAGGTCGGTATTTATTTGGGAGTGGGAAACAAGAGTTGCCTGCGGAGGAGGCTAGGGGCCAATCAAAATCAACGTGTTTTCCAAGGAATTATCGGTAAGGGCTAAGCATATATAAAAGGATAATGATACTACACAACGACAACGATACAATTTTTATTATTTGAATTATTATTCAAAACTTATTTACAAACAATAACCGTTCAGCTTAATTAATTGCTGCTTTTAATTTAAAGGGGTTGTTTAATTAACAGAAAAAGAACATTTACAAAGTTACAGCATCTGTAATATGATTCTGTATGAATTTTTACTGATTTTCTGACCACTTTCGTTGACAGCAGAAATTTAGTAATTTTTTCAACATGAGCTTCCACCTTTGAATTTACTATATGAGTAAATTGTTAAACGTTAACACTTCCGAAATTATTAATACAATAAATTTGCAACATGTACAAGTCCGAAATTATCAATATAAAAAACTCCACATTAAAAAAAAAATAAAATGTCATCAAGTTTAGATTAGTGTCAGATAAAGATTAGATTAGGGTTAGATTAAAATTATATTAGTGTTAGGGCTCAACATGTTTCGCGAATTTATTGTATTGATAATTTCTGACGTGTTTAGCAATTTACTCATATAGTAAATTCAAAGCAAGGACGTGCTGGCTAGGGACGAGCCGACGAGAACTTGTTGTGGCCCCTGTCATCGTGAGCCCCTAAAATTAAAACATTGGAAAAAATAAAAATATAGATTTTAATTTTGAAAATGAAGATTAAGATATTACAATTTATATTTTAAAAATCTAAATTTACGAAAATATTACCGAAAAATTTAACAAATGACGGTACATTAATTTGAAAGTTGCTGAAAAATTGTATGTCCGGAAATTTTTTCGCCAACAATTTTGGGGGGGAAATGTTAATTAGCGACTGAAATGTTTCATGTTTGATCGGTAATACCCCCCACCCCAATCTTGACCCGTCCGTCACTGGACCAGGGCCCCAGATGGGGCTTCAGACGTTGCCCATTCGTCGTTCTTTTTGAAGACCCCAGCACGTCCTTGATTCAAACGTGGACCTCATGTTGAATTGTTTCTACAGTTTGGTAATTTTCGAATGCTTACCCGAGCCAACGGCGCAGAGCGCCGTTCCGGGCATAAGCCCGGGCCCTGGGTACTAATTCCGCCCGGCTATTCATACTCGAGGAAAGGAACGCACTAGCGAAGGCTAAAGTTCATCAATAATCGCGGGCGCATGACTGTAGTATGGTTCACCATAGGTTGTGTGATTGGCCGTATTTATATTAGATGACGACTTAAAAGTCTGGACAAATCAAACGTCTTGTGTTAAGTTAATAAATGGTAATTGGAAGCCAACAAGTCAAACATTGAACACTAAGAAAACCGAATTTATGCTAATAGCCTAACAAGACTTAACTAATTTCCAACAGACATCCGAATATTAACAAACGGTTCGTTATCTAACTAGTCAAACAAACTGCACAAAACGTTCGAGTGCCATAGCTCCACTTAGATTTAGATTTTTTAGATTAGTTTTATTTACCCACAAATAATATTTACAAGTTGAATATTTAAGAATATATAAACGGGCTAGAGACCTCTGGAAATCCTGTTGGACTTTTAAGACGAGGCCCCTATAGTTTTAGTGTTCAGTAATATAAAAATAGATTATGTACATAAGGACAATTTGCAATGAAAAACACAAACTATTTACAAACAAATATGGAAAATGTTTAAGGAATATTTAGTACATTACAGAATATTCCTGAAATATTTACATCAACTAGACATCAAGTAATAGGATTTTGCAGTTTTCTTAAAAGAAAAATATGATTTAATATTTTTAATTTCTTCATCAAGGCAATTCCATATAGAAACTCCTGTGTTAAATACAGTGTATTTGCGATAGTTTGTTCTCTTATAGCTCACATGTAACTTGGTAGAATTTCGAGTATTATAGTTGTATAGTTCGTTATTTTGTTTGAAGTAATCATTATAAAAGTCCGGCAAATTTTGACAATAATTGAAGCGATACATGAATAAGCTGCATAGATAATCATTAATTTTGTAGATATCCAAGATTTTCAATTGTAAAAATATTGGTTCAGAATGATCCATATAAGATTTAAAACAGATTAGTCGTACAATTTTCTTTTGCACATTTAGTAACTTTTGTAACCTTGTTGGGTATGTACTTCCCCAAACTAGATTTCCGTACGTGAGGTATGGATAGACCAATGCATAATAAATCAATTTCGAAGTGTTTTTGTTCGTAAAATGTCTTAGTTTAGCAATCAGACCCGCAGATTTAATTATGTTTTTCAGAATGGAGTTGATGTGGTTCTTCCATGTCAACTCTTGATCAATTAATACACCTAGGAATTTTACCCAAGGTACTTGTTCAACTATATCATTATTTATTTTTACTATGATTTCTTGATGCTGTGACTTATTTTTTGATTTAAAAATGACAAATTTTGTTTTCGATGCATTGATTGATAATTTATTGGCGTTAAGCCATTGCACTACTTCATTCATTTCATTTTGTATAGTACTAGCTAAAGTTTTTAGGCACGAATTTGAATAAAAGGCATTTGTATCATCGGCATATAAGACGAAAGAAAGAATTTTACTGCAGTTTTCAATGTCATTAATGTATATTAGAAATAGTAGTGGTCCAAGAATTGAACCCTGTGGGACGCCAGTCCTAACGCTCATTTCAGTTGACCTATGTTGTTTATATTTGACCATTTGAGTTCTTTCCTGTAAATAATTTATAAACCATTGTAGACCTATACCTCTAATTCCATAGTGTTGAAGTTTTTTTATGAGAATTTCGTGATTGACAGTGTCAAAGGCTTTAGAGAGATCAAGGAAAATACCTACAGTATATTTACCTTCATCTATTGCTTTGGATATCTTATCGGTTAGTTCAAGAATGGCATGCTCAGTTGATCTATTTTTTCTAAAACCAAATTGATGTTCTGAAAGTATACGATGTTTTTCAACATAGTTAATTAATCGCTTGTGCATAAGGTTTTCAAGTAGTTTTGAAAAACAAGTTAATACCGATATAGGTCGATAGTTTTCAAATAGATTATTTTCCTTAGCTTTGAAAATAGGAGTAACTAAAGCTATTTTCAAAAAATTTGGTATTTTTCCAGTTTCAAATGATAGATTATAAATATATGTTAGAAGTTTAATTATTTCTTCACTGATAATCTTTATCATTTTCGTGCTTAGAAGGGCAAAGCCATATGTATCGATCCCACAACGATCTAATCTGTATGTACAACTATTTGGTAGTTCCCTACTTTACATACTGTTCAAAAGTGTGGAACGACGGAAATAAGACAAATTTAGAAAAACTTTACAAAATGCAGAAACGAGCTGCCGTACAATAACTAGCTCAAATTACGAGATAAGATCAAAACAGACTTCCGGATTTTCCGGACTCTAGGATGGAGCCTAATAAAATAGCTCTTAATAGAGGAGAGCTGCTAATATTAACGTTCAATCCCATCCGCGGTGTTGCACCATAGCACATCTGCGACATGTTCTCATACCGTGATAACGCCAATCATCAAATGCGAAGCAACAGGCGTAAGCTACTTCTTGACAAACCCAATAGATCTTTAATGAAAAATTATTTTCATACCGAGAAGTTTACGCCGGAATACATTACCCAACGAAATTTTAGGGTATTCATGAGCAACTGTCGACATATTCTTTTAAAGCAATTCTTACTAAACACCTAGATAATTTTAAAATAGGCACTCGAGGAGTGCGTAAGGATTTGCAATTTGTTGTCAATTTTATAATGCAAAAAAGATTGAAAAACATCAGTGCATAATGCAAGAATGATGGAAAAATATCGCCCAAAATGTAGTATAACAAAACACAACATCATGCATTACTGTTATATTAAAAGTTAATCTACTACAACTTTTAAATGGCTTTATCACTGCCTCAAAGATAAAAGAAAAACTGAATTTGTAGAAATGTTGAAGATATTTTATAATTTAACGTTTGGAAAAAAACCCAAAATTATTTCGAAGTTTCCGCATTCCGCAACAGGCAATTTAATTTCTAATTCATTTTCAATCAATACGACTGAAAAATGGAACAATACAGTTTTCATAGTGGAAACACCACTTTTGATTTTATTTTATACGGCCGCTCCTGAGTTGAACGAATTTGTCTTTTAGGATCTTTTCCATTTGTATTTCTAGCACAAAACAGTCATATATTTATTCGTTTAGCTGAAAGTAAGTGGTACAATGTTTAGTTGTTGGTGTATTCTACGAAAATGAGCGGGGGTTTGGCCCGAAAGTTTGCGAATATCGACAAACACAAATGGCGGATAATAGCTTCCGACGGTTCACGAATACTTGACTCGGAACTCAACGTCACTAATGTGTTACTATCTACTCACCCGATGACATAAAGGATTTTGCTTCGCAAACCTTAAAAATAGGTACGCAGTGCGTACATGTTGCATGCCATCTGAAACTTCGCTATAGCGCTTACATAAACCTTTGGTACAACTGGCGTGAAACTTAAAATATTGATCATTCAATAAGTTTGAAATATCAGTATATTTATTGAAAAATAGCTATTAGGGACCGGTCATAAAGTAATTACTAGAAGGGGGTGGAGGATAAATTAAATTTCAAGTACATATTTCCATACCCTCCCAAAAACTTATGGAAAAATTTTCGTAACCCCCTTCAATGTAAGTGAAATTTTTCATACCCTCCCCCCCTTTTCTAACAATAATTCTGTTTTAACTTTTGTCTTGCGTTTATCTATATTTCGAAACTCTCCAGTTTGTGATAGCTCTCCCACTTCTTGTAGTGGTAACCATATATCTTCACTCAACATTTTCCGCAGTCTCCGATTTGTCACCAGTCTTTTCTGTTTCTGATTCTGACATACTAGCGATGGGTTGAGAGTAAGAAAAACAGAAAAATTTATTTTTGGTTTCAATTTCGTACTCAGAGCCATCGTTGAGCTCTGGGAACGAGATTGGGTTTATTTCAAACAGAAAAAATTTGCCTCCATTCAATGCGACACTTCCTCGTCGTTCTAATGGTGCGAGCTTGCTAGCATTGACAATTCAGATGTATCAGATTTGTACTCCAAACGTTCCACGGACACTGAATCCTACTTGTCATCTGACATTAGTAAAACAATTTTTTCCAAACTTAAATTTGGGCATAAATACATTCAATATTCAACAATAATTATAAAATGTAATTTTTTCCGTACCCATAGTATTAAGATTTTGATACCCCCCTCAGAGGTTCTGTGTTTTTTTCGTACCCTCCAAAAATATCCTCCACACACCCTAGTAAATACTTAATGACCGGTCCCTTATGTCAAAATAAGAAAACTTAAGATTCTCACGCAAATTAGCCTACGGTATAGACCACAGCAGAAACACACAAATAGGCAATGTTTTTATAAGCGACCGTTAATAGTTAGTGGCAAGCGACGGTAATAACATTAGCAAAGTCACGCCGGTCAAGGTTTTATAGAAAGCAATTGACTGTTAGAATTCCTTCACAAATGTATAACTAAATAACGTTAGTTTCTTTAGATTTAGCTTTATTATAGCTTTTTAAAGGTATAAAAAACCCGTGGAAACGGTGAATTACTATAATAGATTGAAAATGATTATTTATCATTTTGACGTTTGAGTGATTGAAATGAGTTCATATACACTACATCGAATGTCATGTTGAATGTCATGCTGAATCTTATGCGTACTTCACAATGGTTGCTATTTCGTTGTGTTAAATTTCAATAGTATGTATAAATACTATTTATAATTCAAATTTTGTTTGATATTTATACATCATGTTATTTACAAAATGTGCTGTAGTTTTGAAGCTTGGCACACAATATAATCAGTGCGAACACAATGGCTCCGTTTCAGTTTGAGTAAATAAAAATCGAGTATTTTGATAGCGTTCGCGGCAAATTAAAACGCCTGATAATTGATAAATAATCACTAATCAGGGCGAGCACAACGGCTCCAAAATAACAACAAATAACAGAATATAAGATTTAGCTAAAAACAGTAAAGCTTTACCTACCTCGATTTATTTTTCTAAAGCGCTCAGTTATGTAAATTTTCGGCGAATAATCAATATAATTTCTCGACGAAAATCCGGCATGAAAATGCTCGTCGGAAAACTCGGTATTTGTCGTATTTTACGAATCTGCCACGTGACTGGTACAACGCACAACGTACACGACACGAAATTTAGAGCTATATGAAAGTTGCATGCCCATATATGGGCATGCAACAAAACCATTAATAATTCACGAGGAAAATAGAAAAGAAATGAATGTTTAATCAATGTTTGTAAATCGTATAAAGATTTGTCCTGATTTACATAAACTTCAGCTTTGATTTTCTCGGCTTAGACAATGTTTATTTTTAGTACATGTTTTATCTAGTACATATATACTCCAGTGTCGTTGAGTAGAGGATGCATTTTGACCTCGTTGAGCGCAGAGGATGTAATTTGACCGAGATTTGCATTTATTTATTTTCACCAGAATACAGAGCAAAGAAATCTCTATAAATTTCTCGTTTCCAGTTTCACCATAATACCATTGGTGGACTTAAGAATAAGTTCAGGAGTTATCTTGATATCTTCAGTCAACTGCGTAGATTTGATATGAAAATGACGTATAATTGAAGCTAATACGACTTTTTCTTCCATCATTGCAAATTTTTGCCCTAAAAGAGAAGATTCCGATTAGGGTTGCGAATAGGATTGCTGTCATGTCAGTGGCGTAACTACTTTGAGCGTCGCGGCAATTTTCCGTTTCGTAAACCGCCAGGGTCACCAGTAACAATCAGCGTCGCCACATTCAGTTTGCACCACATCCGGTGAATTTCATCAATTATTTCATGCTTGTCGTAGCCACCCCCCGCCGGCAGTTTGAATGGACAGGACAAGCCGACCCTCTTCAGTTAAGCTACGCCATTACGACATGTCACATATTAAACTGCGTTACTTACCAATGCAGTTTCTGGGTCCTGCCGAGAAAGGAACATAAGCAAAGGGATTTCTTCCAACGTTAGTTTCAGAAAGAAATCTATCAGGATTAAACGTATCAGGATCATCCCATACTTCAGGATTACGGTGTAATGCCATAGGCGCCACAAGGACGGAACAGCCTTCAGGAATATGGTACGGGCCTGTAATTGAACATTTCATTACGAATTTGTGACTATATATATATATATATAGCTAGATTAATGCATGGCTCCCATTCAAATATAGCCAAAAATACATTAAATTATATTAAAAAATCAGCTTAGTCTGTATGAATGTGGTCAAAGTTAGTATATGAGGACAATAGGATTTTACTTTTTTTTCTATGCCTTTGTTGCTACGGCAACAGTCACGTGACCATTTAAATGGTCTCCATCCAAATGACCAAAACAAGGCCGCTGCCGCTGGCGGATATTCACTCAGATACACTAACATTTACGCATTAACGTTCTTAAGTACTCGCAGATTATGGATCCAATCAGCCCCTGTTCCTACACCGTTCAGAATTCTATATATTTTCGATAATATGCAACTGACACTATGCTCTGGTGTCAATAAGCGCACATTATTTTGAAGCGAAGCCAGCTCGAAGCAGGGGCTGATTCGTTTCGTAAACTGCGAGGTTTCCACTAAACAAAAGCGTTGTTAATGTACTAAATTGACTAAAAACCGCGGTCAGCGAAGTTTAGCGGATACACACATAAATATACAAAATTAACATTCCAAGAACATTCCAATGTTGTAAGACGATCACGCAACAACAGGAATCTCAAATCTTTACCGCTTCAAAAGCAATAATTTGGCTATCAGAATGAACAATATGAGATTTATTACTGCCGACTTAAAACATAGATAATATTTATATTGTAAAGAGGGTGCGAAATTGTGATTAGATTGCTACTAAAGACATATACAACTATAAATATATAGACGAATTAGGGGCATATTGTGGTAACTAAATCCTCTATTGCATAATTGTAGGTTATTTATCAAGCCGGAAAAATATTATATGAGGAATGCACTATAAAACCGAACGGGATCAATAGAACCAAATATTTTCCCATTTCAAACATTCGTTGATATATATAGTTATTTAAAATTTGAATCAGCTTTGCACAACAATATTTCGTGTATTTATTAGTGAGACGCAAGTGAATTTACAAACGCTACAACTTGCTATCATCTGCTGTTTGACAAGCGCCATTTGACAGTAATCCGCAAGGCGCATACCTCTAATCATAATAATAATAACATATTAAGTCGTTCGGATTTTGGCGCAAAATTTAAAATTGATTTGATATACAGGTACTTTGCAATGTATAACGTATGGTCCTAAGTTTTAGTTTTGCCCACCCAAAAAGACTTGAAAGATTTGAAAGAAGACATTTTGAGACTTTATTACGCCCACGAAATGATGAATAGTGTCAAAACACGCGCGCCTCCCGCGTGGTACATAAAGGTCAATATGTGGACGGAGTCATGCATTAATCTAGCTATTTGTTATTCTTGGAGCACAAGACGCACGCGTGTGAGCGGGTACTGTTGTATAACAATTGTATTTTGGCCATGGAATGATTTTTTGTTATTATGTTAATAATTTTATATGACTTTTAAGGCATTCAATAGAAGTAATTCTAAACCGTAAATATATTTTACTTCTTGCACGGCCACTTAATACGACTGGCGCGGACGTCTGCCACGTCCCCAGGCGCTAATAAAAAAAATTTCATGCGAGTCACTATATGAAAGGTTTACATGAAGTAGTGCGTCACATTCTAGGCGCGCAAAGGGGAGTGGGATAACCCCCTGCGCTTGTTCATCGCGATGCCACTACTTCATGTAAATCTTTCATATAGTGACTCGCATGAAATTTTTAATTAGCGCCTGGGGACGAGGCAGCTCGGACGTATGTTGAACGCAGTAGTCGAAATAGATTCGTCCCAACTTTGAATTTGAAATTTTATGGCTGGCTGGCCGAGATGACTTCTCGCGTAAGGATTCGTTAAGAAACAAGACGCTCTATGTAGCGTTAACTCGCTGGGGCTATAGAAATACGCACATTACTGTATATGATACCAGATACAGTACACAGCTATTTCAATTAAGATCTAAGCCTGGCCCCGAGCTAAGCGGAAAAGTCGACTACGAGTGCGAAAGCTCGACACACTAAATATTTTGGGGCTTATGTGCTCCAAATATTATCAAAATGAAGAGAGAAGTGAGACGAATCTACTGGTATATAGCCTACGGTGTAGACCTCTCACGAAACGTGTTTCTGCGGGGTCTACACCGTAGGCTACTGGTATACGGCCGAAAAAGAGAAAACCAACGATACCAAAGTTATCAAGGATCACACGTACTGCATTTTTTATAATTTGAGCGATTTTTCAAGTACTAGATAAAACATGAGCAGCCGATCTGTATCTGATATACAAACTCGAGCCGAAGGCGAGAGTTTGTATATCAGATACAGATCAGATGCGAAATACGATATTTTATCGTATTTAAAAAGTACAATTTCTTACGCTGAATCGAACGGTGGTATTTTTATCTTTATTGCGCCATTAATAGGCATTATAAATACAATATCATATTTCACACTGATCATGAGTACACTGCAGTTTTCACGGACTGTTGTTCGATAAATTTCATATTGATATGACACCAATATGCTCTCATAAAGTAGTTATTTATTAAAACTACGTTGTGCAGTTTAAGTTATAATCTTTTACCTTGAAATTGTCCTTGGCTCGTTTATATTCAGATTCAGTATCTTAATATGATCGTGCACGGGAATTCAACGATCCAAATTTCGGATTTTCAGAGTCGAGCACCAAGAAAAACGCATTAAATAAACTAGCAAGAATATCCAGAGTTAGACACAATGCAAAATCCATAGAAAACAGGTACAATTGATTCAAAATTGTCACGAAATTGTTTGAAACATTTCGCCCACTCCACGAAAGTCCCAGCCAATTTGAAAAGGATCAAGCAGCTCATTAATATTCTATTTTGTGCATGGGCGTATCGGAAGTAAAAAATTAGGGGGGCGGAAACAAATTTGCCGACTAGTCCGGATTGTGCCCGAGCAGTACCGAAAATTTTTTTTCCGGAATTTATTTTGGCGACCTCCCCCCCCTTCCCCCCCGTCGCCAAAAAAGTTTCGGTCAGTGTACCATTTTAGGGGTCAAAAATTTTTTCAGACATACCAATATTTTTCGCAACATCACACATATTTTCGAAAAATCAAAAAAATTACCTCAAAATTGACAGAATTTGTCCCATTTATTTTTATAATATAGTAAAATTGCCCGACTGTTGAGCGAATATTGCCCGACTGCCCAACAAACTGGGGGGCTGCCGCCCCCCCCCCCCGCCCGGTACGCCCATGATTTTGTGGCTATCGACGATTGGAGATCCACTATTAGAGATTGCCGAATGCCGACCGTGAAAAATGCAAGCCGAAACCTATACTCGTCTGGGGCACAGGTGCCCCAGCGAGTAAATACAAATTCAAGTTGAGCGTTTCTTCATTTTCAATTGAATAGCTTAATTAGTGGCTAAAATCCATTATGAGTTGCCGATACGCGTGTACATACGAAGAGTTTTAAAAACCTTTTACGTGATGCTTCTTGCGCAACCATTCGTAAGCTTTCGCAAGCATTTTGAGCAAAAACTCTGAAAGATTGGCAGTAATATCTGAAAATACAATAGCAGAATCTACTATATTATCGTATAACAGCGGAATTTTAGCCCAACATTTTCTCCATCAAAACTTGACTACAAAACAGTAAAAACTTCGATCCCAGTTTTCCCTCCATATTTATCTTGCCATGAGACAACGTCACCATAGCAACAACAAGGACGCTCGTTACCATTTCATTGCATCACACATCGATCAGCGCCTATATTGCCGTTTCAACGCTCTATATATAAGCGCCCTAACTACTACTATTATGACCTACACATATGTGATCAAGATTTCACTCAAGCATAACCTGGGTTATTCAATGCCCCGGTGAAAGTGATGTATGGTTTTCTCCGATAGAAAAGATGCCCTGGTGAGATAAACCTAGGACCAACCAGGGCTTCAGCCTTTCCCCCAATAATTTTTATAAGACAGAACGCATATGCCCTTTATTCGTGTTTGGTTTGGGAAATTGGTAAACTAGTTCTGTAATAAATACTAATAGTTGCATGCTCAGGTTGAAATATATTTCTCCTTTTTTACGTGACTCTACCATTGGCTTAACCCAACATTAGTTTTCAAGGGTGAAGCATATTAGTTTTGAAAGTGCTTTGGGATTTTCCTACGTGATTTTCAAAGCAGAGTAACCCTCGACTTGACCGTTGCATCTTTGTGTAATTGTTCTTTTACAAAAATCTTCATTCATTTTCAGTCAGACATGTTTGACTATCGTCAGGCATTATGCACATGGTTACTTTAAGTAAGTTATTGTGGGAAATAGCTGGAAATGCACTTTCCAGGCTCGTAGTTGTCAAAATTTCCTGGCGGGACCCCCATATTCCTTACGAAGTTCGCTGCCAACTGATTTAAACTGGACACCACCCCCTCCCCTCCTCCACAAATCGTAAAATCGCTGTGCGGTCTATGCAAACCACAAAGCTCGCAAGCCAGGCTTTCTACCTCCACTTCCCTCCCAAACATGCTCGTGTTTTCCACGGAAGCGGAAGTAGAGAACTTGGCTTGTAAAGTTGGCAAACCACATGTGGAAAATAACATAAAACTTGAAGTTTACCTTCTATACGAGTGAATATAAAAGCGATCACGTAAACAAATAAACCAATCAGACGGCAGCGGTTGAAAATCAGACACAGATCGGATGGAAACATTTTTTTACCGATAATTTTGGCGATATTGTTTGTTTTAGCCAAGAAAATTCAAGCTATAGATTCAGGCTACAAAAACCAATACAGACATTGATTAAACATTCAGGGGCCGGTTGTTCAAAGCGTGATTATCGCTAGCGCTGCATGGGTTAAAATTTAACCTGCTGTTTCAATTTCGGTATTTCTGCACATCTGTTTATTTCAAAACTTCAGAAAAGAAAACTCTCATTGATCCACACAAGACTTCTGAAGAAATATTTCCAAGTTTATAAACAAGTTGTTGGGAAGTTCGCTTTGTATTTTAGGGTAAAGTGCCTATGACACGAAATTTCATCCCAAATGTTTATGATTGCATTGTAAAGAACACTTAAATTGACTTAATAATTTATTTTATAGAATTTTTGTAACTTGCTTCCTTTGCAAGATATTCAACTTTGTTTCATATGCAAATATCACCGGTGTGACAACACATCGCATAATGACATTTTGAAAATGTAATATTTTACCTTGATAAAATATTTTTACAAACAAATACAGAGGGTTAATTAGCAGTTATGAAATTAAGACATATACAAAGGCAATTTTTAAGTTTTTTAGATACGTATTCGTCAAGAAAACTATACTTTTCTGAAAACTCATTATGTGATGTGATGTCACACCGGTGATATTTGCATATGAAACAAAGTTGAATATCTTGAAAAGGGAGCAAGTTACCAAAATTCTATAAAAGAAATTATTAAATCACTTTAGGTGATCTTTACAATGCACCAATAAACCTTTGGGGTGAAATTTCGTGCCATAGCCACTTTAAACTAGGATTAAGTTGATGGCTTTTCAACAACCGGCCCCAGTTCTTTTGAATTTACTTCCTGAAATTTCTTCCTGAATTTGATAGATCGTTTGAAAACATAATGTGTGTGGAGAAGCGATAGCCTTCTGTCACCACATTCAAATTTTCTTACCAAATTTACATTCCTCTGTCAAGTCCCGCACCAGAAGTGGCACTGATGGAAACAATCGTAGGGCTTCCTGTAAATAGAAAATAATTTTAGAATTAAAAAATAGTTTCTGTTCAGCATTAATTTGTTCAGCAAATGGCTGAGAAATTTGGTAAAATGAAATGTAAAACTATGTCGTTCGAAATATAAAAGTTTTAATACACTTTTCACTAAGTCTACTAGTTTCAAAAACACAATAGTACAATACAGCGTCAAGACACCATACATGCAGCACAATGAAAACACGACATATCAAAAGAAATAGTATCGTACAAATTGAGATATTTATAGGATAAAAAAGAAAACTGTTTTAAAAAGAATGTCACGGCTTTTCCAAACAGTCGGGATCGTTTTTGCTATTTGTTTGAAGGAAATGTTTCGGAGTTTTTTAAAACTATTATTTAAAAATAAGTTTTAAATTGTCTGTGAATATATGTTTGACACAGTAAAATAATAAATAAATCCTACATTTCGATTAAAATACAACATTTGTGCTTTTTTCCTTTTTCTGGGACGATTTTTTCAATATTTTGCCGATTTTGAAACCAAATTTGCAGATTCATTCTATTTGAAAAGCATTATTTGCTAGTCTGCTAGTAAATTATGCGTCAGATTTAGTAGTCAACTAGCCAATCTGAACGCGCGAAAGCTCATTTGATATGCAAAATGTATACTAAGGCGTATTATTGGTATATTTTCTATTGCAATTAAGACTGTGTTGAAAGAGTAAGACAGACAAGATGTTGATCAAAACCACAAATTTATCTTTCCTTGCTTCGACCAAGGGACTTTCATGTATGTGAAATTTCATTGTTTGTGAGAATCATATATTTCTTAAACAATTGTGGAGGTAACGGAGGTAGCGCACCTCATATCAAGTAAGCCCATCCCCTCATTCCACTCCTCACTATCCGCCCTATCGCCTCATTCCACTCCTCGCTATCCCCCAGGCTATCGCCTCATTCCACCTACATCGCCTCATTCCGCCATATTTTTTATGTCAGTGGAAGGTCCGCCAATGATAACATAGCGAAACGCCCGCGGTAATCGACGACTTTTAGACCCTTTTAGCTCCCTTCCGTTAACCCAGGTGTAAATACAGTACCTGGGCGTAATTTATTACCCTAGCTACGGACTTACGCCTTATATAGGAATGAAACATACCTTCACCACACACTCGAGAAAATTTAAATCCTTGAGTTGATCTGGCTTTATATTTCCATCGACCGGTACAGATTCTGTTAAAAAACGATAGTCTTTTAAGAATAGTACTATCTCATTCAGATATTTCAGTCTGTATTAATCAGATATTTCATTGCCTACACAATGCCCTCGAATCATTGCTCATCCATATTCGTAAAATTAAATCAAAATCTGGTCAGTTGGCGTTGACTAACATCGGCCTGTCTTATTTTTATTTTAGGATATAATTAAAGCTTTCTTGTTTGTACTTTTTCGGTGGGGTAACATAAGTTAGTATTAAAACACTAACAAATCGACACGAGGACAAAATCAAATTACATGTGATCGCATTTGATGACACAAAGCTAATTTTGAATAGGTTTCCAATTTGATTTGACCTTCAAATTTACTTACCAAAAAAATTGTCCACTTCCTTTTGTAACCGAGATTGAACGTCAGGGTGGTGGCCAACAAGATGGATAACCCATTGTAATGATGCTGCTGTTGTATCGTGGCCCTGCATGGAAGTGTAAATTTGTGCTGTGATACAGTATTTGCGACTTTCTGGGACTTAATAGAATAAACTCAGGTATTGAGGTATAACTACTGTAGAATTACATGCATGGAGCAATGCGTCGCCCTTTTTATCGCTTAGACGCCCATAATTGTTTCAACATGCAGTATTTCATCAGCTGCAAACATTGTGGTTGCCATAGTAATATGAAAATCACACATTTTCTTACCAAATGACAAACTACACACAATCATTTTTTTATTGTCAATATCAATAATGTCGTTTTATCGTAGTTATTTAGTATTGAATAAGCTTCGATTTAATGTAAAATCCATTTTTCTGCATTGGATGTAAGTCGTTACGAGATAAAGGGTGCTAGGAAGATAAAACTGTAGGTTTAAAATGCAGCGATTTCTAGTATGAGTTTCTTCTTCTGATGGATGTGAACGAGTAAATAAGTTAGCAATGTTCTGAGTAATATAATTGGACCACATGTGAACATTCATAACTCATCTACTCGTTCACATACATCAGGAGAGGAAAATCGCACCTAAAATTGCAGCAAAAATTGCAAGTATAAACCTTAAAGGTTATAATTGTAAACAGTGAGCGGTTGGAATGTAATCTTTATTTTACTAAGTCAAGAGAAAGTGGACCATTTCATAGAAATTGAAGTTCCTACCTCAAACATGAAAGTATCGACCTCCTCCCTCACTCCTTCCTTCGTTATATTTCCTTGATCATATTCTTCCAGCAAGAGATCTAAGAATGCTCGGATACGACGATTACTGGATGAATATATCGCCGTAACATCTGAAGCATCTTCATTTGTGTCTTGATGCTCTTTCCGTTGTTTAATACGGTCATTGATTACCTTCAATAAAAATACAATGTTTGGATTTACCACTCGGTATAGTAAGTGTGTTGAATTACTTACGTTTCTGAATGACAATTATTGATCTGCTATAAATATATTGACCTTGCAAACTGTATAGAGAGCTCTAATTCAGTCTTATTTTGACTAAGTTCCAGAGTTTCCTGGAGCCAATTGTGAAATCAGATCTGCGGAGGACTTTGGAAATCTCTTAATGTAAAACGTGACCTGCACAAATCTGTATCTTTCTTTATAAAATCATTAATAACCACACCGCTCCCAATTTGAAACAAATTTTTGCTTCGAATATCCAAACAGCGCATATCATCTCAGAAATAATAAAATAAATCTTTGACTCCCAATGCCGAAAAGAGAAAAAAAACCGTTCAAATACAGAGTTAAGTAATGGAATGTACTGTACTTCCGGCTGATGTTGCAGCCTCCATCGAATTATGTCTTTAAAAATGCGTCACACCGCAACCTTATATTTATCTAACTCTTTTCCACCACGTCCCAGTTGCGTCGATCAGCACTGATCGATTGCAAGATATTTAATATCTTCGGTTCAGTGCATGCTATGAAGACAGAAATACCACCATTCGATTCAGAAAGAAAAGATTCAACTAATTCCTCCCTATAGTTATAGTCATTATCAACATTGTAGCGATTTATGGGCCTTTGAAGTCAAACACGATCATATTGTATCAAATTACGCAATTGTCTGAACAAAAATATAGACTATTCATACCTTTCGCCGAAAATAACTTCGGCCCCTTCGAACATATCGTCTTTGTAATAGTCTTGTTAAAATCCCCATTAAAAACACTACTTAGAGTGTTATTTGCAAGCCTGTATCTTCAAATCTGTATCTTTTATCAATATATTTTTATTTCTTGCCCGACTGTGAGCTCGAAGTGAGTTAATCCCAACCGGAAATACGACTGAAAATCGTCAAAACAATGCGAAGCTTGTATTGTATGACCCTGCCAAGGCCAGAAATGAATTCGCAAGGTCAAATTGCACCTACACGCGTGAGTTTGACGTCATACCGGCCAACAGGAGCTTCTTATTGGCCAATTATTGCGCAATGTTCGCAAGTGCGAGTAAAACCCGATATCTTGAAAAATTCAAAATAAATATTTCTAGTCGGCGTATACATACGAAACTTTCTACACAAAAGCGCTTGAATACAAAGAGTATTTTACACATATAGCCGTTTAGCAAATGACGAAATGTTCAAGAGATATTCAAGATCTTGTGTATATGAAATTTAGAATCTTTGGCCAAGCGGTGAGTAAATATATGATTGTTTCGGTTTGTGTAATGTTCAGACGGCACTTGACCCCCCGTTTGAAAGGTTATTTTGTGAGGATTACAATGGTGGTATTTATTTATAAGGGGGGTAAATACTCTCCAAGATATTTATATTAGAAAAATTGTGTCGTAATATGATGCGAGAGGGGGTGGTCGAAAAATTAAACTAGAAATGGATACATGCAGTATAATCCGATCGCCTATATATTTTCCAAACACTGATTTAACATGAAGTATTCATAATTGGCCAACACCGAACGCAGGCTCGCGTTGTGGCGTTGTGTGTTGCCATGACAAAGCGGTATTTTTAAATTTTATTTTTTAAATATTTTTGTACAAAACGGCAAAATCGTTTTAAAAGACTACTACTTTTAACTATAGAACAATGAATTTCTGAATTATGTACTGTAGGAAAATTTTAATTTGCCCTTTGATCGAAATTGAAAATGAAAAGGAAAGCTGCATGTTTTACGCAGGAAATAAAAGTGCTCAACAAAATTCATAAACATTATAAACAGTCAAAGCAAAACCCCGATATCTCACGATTTCCCATAGTAAATAAATTCTTCTCATTTCTTCAAACAAAAATTTCGTCAAAGCTCATTGTATGCAAACGTGATTTTCCAAATATAAGTTTTTGAAATTTGAAATCTTGCTTATCCCACTTCTGGCAAACAGCTATATTTCTGAGATCAGTGAGGTCCATGCACCCATGACCAATAGTCACGCGTCCGCGATTATTGATGAACTTTAGACTTCGCCCTCCCCTCCCAACTTTAGACCGGACGCCCTCCTCTCCTCCCATTGAAACCAGCTTTTAGACAGGGGGATAGCATCATTAAGTAAAGTTTAATTAAAATAGATAAATAAATATTCATATAATTTTATTGCATGACATTGTTTAAATTAAATATTTTGTGCATTACTAATGTATAACTTGTCTTCACAATAACTATATTGCATGCCATATATTAGCATTATATTTTGTGACAAAGGATTTCAAAATCTTTCTTCCTAAAATGTACCTTGTTTGTAAAACCATGGAGAATATCCAGAGCTTTTTTGTGCTTTCTTCCCGAAGACGTCATGTTAAAAATTGTGTCTGGCCACAGCCATGGATATTTTTGACGTTCTTGAATAAGTTCGCACATGCTATAGCGACAAAACAATGGAAGAGAAGTTGGAGGGTATATGATGATAGCATGAAAACAAATCTAACATTAAGATGATAAGTGGAAACATTGTAGAGAAAACAAGCAAGTGTTTCATATCTTGCGAGATAATGCTCATGCACTATGAATACGATATTTTGCGAATTATTATGCGCTATTTTGTTAGGAAAATCTATTTCGTAAAATGTATATTAGTATACTGTATTATGTAATAGAATGGTTTGCAGTGCCATTTGGAAAAAATGCATGAGTGAATTTTCAAAGACGATCAAAGACGATGATTTTTCCGCACTTGTCTATTAATACTTATTAATAATATACAGAAAATAACGCAGAAGCAAATCCACAGTCAATGCGAAGTACATAGTTTACTCAGACATTTGAATGAGGCAACAATTTAATTTTTAACTGTCATGAAAGAGACAGTTTCAATAAAAATTGCGTTACTCTTACAGCCAATCAGAATTGAGTATTTTTTTCATGTATCTTATATTAAAATGATTTAAATGTGGAAAAAGTACATCGCACAATACCTGAATACGGTTTTAGTATATTCCGGGTTACTCCCGAATTGAGCTTTGATATCAAAACCCATAGAGGTCTCTGAAAAAATAAGGCGAAAAAAAATTATTAAAGTTTCGAATTTTGTTAATTAAGTCTAAATGATAAATATCTGCTGATGTTCACAAAGAATGATCAACTTACGTAATATGAATGAAATATGCATGCAGTAGTTCTGTTTGTTGTCGAGAATATTGTGTATAAATATGTTTGGTTTTTGAGTGATATTGTGCCCCAACGATCATTGTCAAATTTCAGTATAAGTATTTTGCTAAAATTGCTTTTTTTCATCCTATAATATTTTCATAGATACAGGTTGTGCCACCAATGTTATTATTTTCCTCTGTTTATTGTTTTACCAATTATTAGATATTAATTAATTGTTTACATTCTAAAAATTTAATTGTGGCAATACAGAAAATCAAAGTATTACTGCAACATATTTTTTTTCAGTTAATCCAAATAAACTCACAGTGAAATGCGAACAAACACGTTCTATATAACATTCGCTCAATGTATTACAATATCAGTAGTGTTTAGACAATATTATTTCCCGCATTTGCTGATATTTGCGAATGTCGAGAGTCGGGACAAATAAACAGTTGTGAATGGTTATCATTTATTACTTGCGTTCTCTTTTGGGCTAAACAATTAAAACAAATCCTTTCAAGCAGTCCTTTCAAGTGTTCCGCATGTCTGCGCGAGCGAAAATCTTTGTTTACATTCTGCTTGAAAGCACTTTCTTTTTGTTTGACCAACAAGAGAACGCATGTGATTAACGATAGCCAATCAGAACTGTTTTTCTTTCACGCTGTTCGAAAAGTTGTGGATTTCAGACCTGCAAATGCGGGTTCTAATACTGTCAAAAAACCAATAACATTTTACAACTGAAAGTCCAAGCGCGGCAACAACCAAACCTAAAAAACTAAGGCCCGTTTTATATACGTCGAATTTTGGTCGTGTCAAATGCAATTAAGACAATAGATAATGAGACAATAAACCTCATTAAGCTTAATTATCTATTGTTTGAATTGCATTCGACGCGACCGAAATTCGACGTATAAAACAGGCCTAAGCGTAATCAAATTAATGCGTTGCGGTTGCCAGCTTTTAACAAAAAATGCCATGCGTGGACGTTTTTAGAAGCATTTTTTTCCAGTTTTACCAGCCAACTATGTAGCGTGCAGGACAACGGACCACACGTAACTTGCAGGACACGGAAATGAATATCAAAATGTACCATGCACGTGATTAAGATCTCATATTAATTCTACGTTTTCCGTTCCAAATAATTCTTTGTATCTGCTATTGCACGCATAAGCGAGAGAACTCTATTTACACTTCACGACTTTTACTTTTACGCAGATGACTCACAATTATATATCGCTTTTGAATCAACCAACCGAGGAAAAATTGACAGCACTGGTACAAATTGAAATGTGTGTGAAAGAGATTGATCTGTGGATGGTCAAAAATAAATTGAAATTGAATGGGGACAAGACTGACTGAGTTACTATAGTAATCAATACACGAAATCGTTTATGCCGTGCTGTAGAATATGTAGAAGTATCTAATTCAAGAATTCAACCAAGTACTTCAGCATGTAACATTGGTGTAACTTTCGATCAACACATGTCTATGGATAAACATGTTACCAACATTTGCAACCTTCAAAGACTTTTTCTGCCTATTTTCAAACACTTTTCAAAGACCTTTGAGAGCAATCAGCTGTCGAAAAATTGCGAGTGTAAGCACCATTTTTACTCGGTAATTATAGTTCCGTCAAATCACATCATAAAATGTACGTGCACCTTTTCGTCGATATTTGCGAATTCATATTAGAAGACGGATTTCCGTCTAAGACGGGAAACTCGTGTGAAGGATTTCCGTCTGGTATAAGTGTGAAACGAAAACCATCGGACGGTTAAACCCAAAAAAATAGGAGACCCTCCATCCCAGTCTCTTTTGAACGTTACGAGCAGAAACCCGTCTTGATTTATTCGTCTGCTATAAATTTAAGACGGATTTAAGACGGATTTCCGTCTAAGACGAGAAACTCGTCTAACTTTCCCGTCGTTCAGACGGGAAAGTTAGACGGAAAAGTTGAGACGGAAAACCCGTCGTTACCGAATTTATATCAAGACGAGTTTCTCGTCTAAGACGAGTTTCCCGTGTTAGACGGAAATCCGTCTTCTAATATCAATTCAGCTAATCAATCGATATTTTATTACCATTATAGATCATATAATCAATTCCTCACTAAAGAATTTAAAGACTTTTAAAGACTTTCTTCGCTTTTTCACACAATTCAAAGACTTTTCAAAGACCTTAAAGACCTGCATTCAAATTTAAAGACTTTCAAGGATTTCAAAGACCGCTACGAACCCTGAGATATCCAAACATTAGTTCATGCCATTATTATATCGAAACTGGATAATTGTAATTCTTTATTATATGGACTGCCTAAATTTCGTATTGATCGGTTACAGAAGTCTGCAAAACTGTGCTGATCGTCTGGTAACAGGGAGCCAAAAATACGATCATATTACACAAATCAGTGAACGCATCATCTATAAAACTGTTCTTATTACATATAACTCTCTGAATGGTTTAGCTTCACATTATTTAGCCTATATTAATAATATGCTAATAACCTTTCACAGCATCAGTAAATTTACAAAGGATTCCTTACCATACACTCATGCAGTAAGACTAGACATGAACTATGGTGAACAGTTGTTCTCATATTATGCTGCATGCACCGAAACTGTGGAACGAACTGCCAGAGTATATTAGAAATGCATGCACATTTTTAAAACAAGATTAAATTAAATACATATTTTTTAAACAGTATTATGACTAAGCTATTACTTTAACAACACTGTCTATTAGTAATTTTATATTATTATATGAGTATTGAATTTTATACGCGATAAAGTTGTCGAATAAAAACCGCATATGCCTAAAATGTCTGAGGATCTCATTGGACATACGACATTCGCCACTAGTGAAGAACGTCGTATTAGCCTTCTCATTGGACGTACGGAATTTGTCACTAGTGAAAAATTTCGTATTTACTTTTCTCGCCGCGCCACTGGCGTACAAGAAAACAACAATCAGTTTTTTTAGATGTCCGTTCGACTTTTGATTTGAAATGGCTTCACGCTTCGCAGAGACACCATCCGTAAGCGAATTCATTGAACAACAGGAGAATAATAATACAAGAATTTTAAAGCGAAATAATTTATTTGTTGTAGCTATTGTTGTACTTTTTGATGCATGTTATATATGTTTGAAACGTTTGGTTTGAATTGTGTCTATCGTTCAGCACTTAAATTTCACTCTAATATATAATAACTCGTATAATAAACAAATTACTTCATGGTTGATTCGCTTGTACGATTTTTATTATGCACTCGTTGCGAAAAATTCCTATAAACTCACTCGTTCGCTGCGCTCACTCGTTCGTTTATAGGAATTTTTCGCAACTCGTGCATAAAAATCGTACGCGCTCATCAACTATGAAGTAATCTCTATGTATTTTATGGTTGGTGATGTAATATTGTCAACATGCATACATGAACATTAAGTAATTTTATATTCTTAATGAAAAGAACACTGATATATAGTAACTTTAATTTTAGTAGTTAATACATGCAATATGTTCTAACACTTTGTAAATATTTTTAACACTAATGTTAAGCGCCATATTGAGCTATGGGAAATGGCGCTATATATAAATGACAGAATCATATAAATAGAGGATATTACACGGCGGCGCGAAGATATGACTTTTATCTTCGAGTGGTGAAAACAATATTTTATGAACGAGGGCAGCGAGTGAGTAAAATATTGTTTCTAACACGAGAAGATAAAAGTCATATCTTCAAGCCACCGTGTAATGTTCTATTTATTATACAGTCCAAGCAAAAAATTGTGAAATTTCACTCACAAGCAAATTGGAAAAAGTCACGTGATCGATATCTTCACTAGTGAAGATATGGAAAATATCTCACTGTGTATTTTTCAGTATCTCACTCTCTACTATATAGGCCTAATAATAATAAATATCATACCACATATAATATCCAAGACACAAAGTGTGATGTATGGAACCATGTCGAATTCACCCTTGCCAGCTTTAGCCTTAAACAAATAAATTAACAATTACTCTAATCGTTTATGTCAGTATTTGGTGTATATTGACAATGTGTGAAATTGACAATAAATAAAACATTTCATGAATTATTTTGAAAAACTTACAATCTCGCCACATTCGTGCACGGCGCGGCCTATAATACTGTTGACGGTTTGAACATATATATTTTGGAAAAATAAATTTTATAAAATTGTTCTAAAACATGGTGTTCAGATCCTTCTTATTTCGCTGTTCGTTTATTATAGCTATTTCTTTGAGTGCTATGATATGTTTTAGATATTTTGCAATGAATCGGCCATAACTCCATAAATGTTACAAATAAAAACAAAACCGAACTGAGATTCTTAGCTTTCTGCTGAACCAAATCAGAACCAAAACCTTTTTGAGACGAATTTCAATAACTCATCAAAGGTGCTCTTACTTACTTTATATTTAATACATATATACAGTATAGATTATAGTACGAAACATTCCAGGCATATTTTGCTACATCATTGTAATAACCGATTTATTTCTAAATAAATATGAGAATAATCTTACCTGAAGTAATTCGACTAGAATAGCAGATTGTTTTTGGTGAATAGAAACGAACTCGTTTAAAATCTTGAAATGAAATGTCGGTGTAAGAAGCCTTCGGCGAGATTTCCATTTGTTACCGGTGCTAAAGTAGAAGACAAAATATGTTTTTGGTAACACTTAGTGCCGGACACTATAGGGGAAAGGGAGGGCAGGGGAGGCACTGCCCACACCAAAAAATCTCTAATTGCTATAAATTAAACTAATTATAGCACGACTTATAAAGTGCATATGACATGAAATTTCTTATTTTCTTAAATGAAAAAACTCTTTAAGTTGTAGTGTAACTTATTTTTCAGTTTCTTCTTTTATGGTTTGTTCCCGAGATATTTCAATTTGTTTGATATGTAAATGAGTATGTATTTTTGCAACCCCCCCCCCCCCCACACACACACTCAATAACTCGCAGTGTCGCTCGCTGGTAACACTCAGCTTGATGTATGTATATTTTACGTGTCTTGTTTCCAAGAAGAGTGTCAATTCTTACTTGTTAATGAAACGAAAGCCCCCAAAACAAAAGCTAACTAAAGGATTTGGATTATGAAAAAATATAGTTAACAGCCGTTATATAATACAAACGACGAGTTCATGGTAATATAACTATAAGTCTGATATTTCTGGTTATACAAAATTACAATGGTAAACTTTAAATGTTCTTGATGAAAGTCATTTTATCATTTTATGCACTTGAAAAGCATGCAATAAACAAGTAGAACTAACCTTGTTAACAGACCTGAAGATAAAAGAAAAATGAAGAAAAATAAACAATTGTGACAGTGAATACATGCACCCATCGAGAAAGTACGTCATGCACCTTGGCTATACAGAGCCTCGTTTTCGTGTATGTGACATTAGTTCAATCCAAGCGTCGCAATCATGAGAACGAGGCTCGATAGCCAAGGTGACGTACTTTCCGGAAGCGTGTATTAAGGTCTTTTCAAGATTAGAAATTGAAAATGGGATATGGAAATAAAAAATTCTAATGGTAATTATATGAACCATCTAACACAGAATAGTGAGAAAACCAGCCTGGGGCCGGTTGTATAAAAAAGTGATTAAAGTTAACTATAATTAAGTGCGAACGTCATCCAATAAGAAGCGCATATTTGAGAGTTAATCACTATTTAACTACAAAATAGTGATTAAAAAAGTGATTAAGAGTTTTATACAACCGGCCCCTGGTCATTAAGTTTTCCTATTAAACACTCTATCACAAGTGCATCACATTTCAAATTGCATGTCTGAGAATTTATTTTCATTGTCACGTGATCAGGTTTTACCAAATAAACATGAACTAGAAATACATGCATGCAACAACCCTTAGCTTCGCACAATTTTCCAAATATTGTTTCAACATGAAGTATTTTTAATTATGCCGACACAACACAGAAAGCAAGCTCGCGCTGCTCGGATCATGCCGTCATGTTAGCCATGGCAATCAACACGATCATTGTTTTCTTTTATTTTTTGTGCAAAACGGCAAAAACAAATTTAATGTTTTACACTTTTAACTGTAGGACTACCAATTTTTAAAATATATAAAGTAGATATGCTATTTTGTATTCTATGGGCATACATATTGCAATGTAAAATTATATTATTGGTCCTGATAGTCATTTCGCAGTGAGTCGTAATATTTGTGTCACTTCCACTTCTAAATAAATTATGGTGCTTCCAAACTTTAAAAGACGTATGCATGCATGCCATTATGACACAACCATGCATGCATGCATGATGTAGTCGTTTAACGTCGATTCGAGTTTATTTTGATTGTGTTTGTAGGAAAAATATCAAATTGTAAAAAACTATATATTATACAAATAATGAATATTTATGAGTGCAATGGTAAGAATATTTTCATGAGGTGAAAGATGGAATGTTCCATTCAACGAGGCGACAGCCGAGTTGAATGGAACATTCCATCTTTCACCGAATGAAAATATTCTTACCATTGCACGAAAAAACATTCATTATTTGTTTTATATAATACCAAAATAGACTAATAGATTCGTATGAGAAGCATTTTGAGGGATGCGATTTATCGAAAAAACAAAGAGTGCAATTGTACTATACGTTTTATTCCATTGCACTCGCAGAGAGTGCAATGGAACGTATTCCATTGCACTCTTGGGAAATGGAATTTTCTATTCAATATCACGTGACCATAAACAGCCAATTAAATTATCAGAATTCAATAAGGTATTATATAATACTTCATGAACACTGCGGCTGCATGCAGCGTTTATAATAAATTGAGTTATAATTATACCTGTTCCAAGCCATGGATGAAGAAAATTGTAAAGCGACGATTTAGTAATATTCGTCTGACTTGACAGTAATACCTGCATTGGTAGAAGTATTTCCATTGAAATTATAATAATTATTATTATTAGCATGACAGAATTACTGGATGCTGAATGGTTGAGAGGAGTACAATTATTTCATTAATTGTACTGCAGTACAATTAATGATTTTCCCAAAACAAACAAAATGGGGGAAAGGTATTTTAAACACAAATGTGAAATGAAATTGCAGTGGAGGAACTAGATGAAAATACGAACAAAAGCACCAAATTTTGCTTTAACAAAAGAACTAAATGAAAATACAAACAAAAGCACCAAATGTTGTTTGAATGTCTGGCAGGACTGGGCTTTGGCGAGAGAATATGATGTTGACATTGAGAAGTACGTATCCAATTTTGTCATGCTAATAATAAACAAGTAATCATACGATGTTGCTCGTACAATTAGGGATTAATAGTAATCGTGATGTTTGGAAATTTGCCAAATTGGGCTCGACCTGGCGGCTCGTCCAATTTTGGCAAAATTTCCAAACATCACTCGCCATCGCATGATTACCTATACGGCTATACTAATATATAATGATTTCAAGGGAGTACCATTAAAAATTGCTATTTAAAATAGCAAATGGCCAATAACTATTTGGGGCACTCCTAAATTATACTCTACATGCATATATCATAATTCAGTAAAAACTATAGAATTAGCTAAAATAATAATACATCTACTGTATATACAAATAGAACTGGATAGAAGTTATTAAACGTTCAAATTATGTAAAACTTGTTGATCCTTAAAAATGTTATTCCACATGATTTTCCTTTCTGATGTCAATACCGAGGTATTTTGTTCCAAAGTTTTATACTAGACACTGCAAAAGTTTAAAGACCCGCAGATTCTCTTTTGTATTTTTAGAAAAATAGCATTGACATAAACATAACGAGTACTTCTGGAATTAATTGATAATTAACCTAAATAGAACGTGTCATATAAAGCAGCGAAATTTTCAGAATTCTTTCCATGGATTGAAGGAGTCAACTAGTTAATTGTTTTCCTTTTTCTTCAAGTTGATCGGAGAAATCATACCGATAACATTTGAAGAAAGTAAAACTTGGCATGTTGGCAAAATAATTAGCAGAAACATAATTAGCAGAAAAATTTAATTTGCAATACTTTCAAAATTTACAAAGGTCATTCGTCTATATAAATACTACTCGCTAAATTCTTTTTGTCATATTTCATTTGTTCAAATATTTCATTTGTAAAAATATGTATTTCCAGTAAAATGAATATGATACTTAATATACATATATACTAATAAGGATTAGCACACAGTTATCATTAGTCAATTGTTTCCGGAGGTTCAGTAATCTTTTAAATTCGCCCAATGTTTACATAAATTGTAATAAATAACATCAATTTAACAGACTTTTTGACAAGTTTGCTCATATACAGTATATCTTGATTTTCCAGTTGCTCGAATTTCCTTGGATTTCTATTTTTTTTTTTGGGGGGGGGGCAACTGCCCTTCGGAACCCTTTGATAGATGGGAGATAATGCTGGTTCACAGCCAATCACACCCTATAAGGATAGCCTGCCTGGCAGACGGTCAGTGGAGAAAGACCGTCCTCCGGGCTTCCTTTTTTCGCCCCCTCTCCATTTACAGTAGGTGTTCCGCCGCGGGCTGATCGTCTGTCACGCAGGATATCCCATCCTTACAATGTCATCATTATTATGAATAGTACTATTAATTAATACGCACCGTACCTCGACATATTCGGGTTTGGAAAGATAAACAACAGGTTTATATGCTAACCAGATACAAAATATACCATCTGCTACAAATTCCTCCGCCCAACCTTTAATCTGAATGTAAAACCCTACAAATATTGGAAAGAAAATAGTCTGTCAAATCCACTTTCTTTCTACTAGCTTGGCATACGTTTTGTTAATATGTTGTGTGCTACATTATTGCATAATTTTTGAGCAGTCCAGTATTGTCAGTGCAACATAATGTAACAGGCACTGTGTATGCCAAATGTTTATAAAACCAGCAGTGTTAAAACTAAGGTTATCAAACCTATACACTGCTGCCATTTTACCAGCCGAGAAGGAGTAGTGGTCTTGGTCAAATTGCTTTGTAATTAGCGATACATTTTTATTAAACTACCCTTTAGCGAAGATGCCATGCTACGGATTTCCGAAGCACTATACACTTAAGGTCTTCACCCTAGAGACAGATTTGAGTCCTCGGCTTCATTCTCTTTAAAAAATCAAGGAATGAATTGTATGCATGTACAGTATAATTAACAGTTATTCTGCGAACTCGAGTCGTATATGAGCAGTCATATATAGGACAAGAGTGAGTAGAATACCTTTTTTTATATATAAGACAACTAATAAATTCACAGACTCATCTGTATGCCAATATTTGACATTTAGTTTAGCAATCAAAACAACTTGCCCTAAACCTGATAAACCACTGCTGCTATTTCTTTAAATAATACTTCAAACATTGCTCAAAACTCAAATTTTTTATATATTTAAGGCTTTTAGACAAAACAGGTGCTGTTGATTTCACGTCTATAAATTGACCTAGTTCAGTTTAATTTCTTCCAAAAAATTAATATTCTGTTCATGTCTTTTTATCTTTGCTCTTTCGGCATTATTTTTTTTTAAAAAACTACACTTTTAAACTAGTTTAAGCATTAAAAATCTATTTGCAAACCCATAAGTATTTTTATTATGTTTTATTCTTCTTAATGCTATAAAAAAGCGAATAACCTGCTGTTGTGTTGGGTCTTGTCTAAAAGTGCACACGAGTGACCACGAATGACCACGAGTGATTTCTGTGTTTAAAAACCCATAAAATTATAATAAAAACTATTTTAAGGTGGCTCTCTAGGGTTTTCGCATTATACTACACTATCAAGTATCCAGAAAACTCCTGTTTCTTCAATTTACATGACATGAAGACGGAATTTATTGGACACATTCACAATTCTCCTGAACATTGCGATTTGGTACTTTTGCGCTGAAAGTCCGTTACCATGGCAACAGCGTGTTTAGGATAATTAAACTCAAAATTTGTCTTTTCCGGCCATTTTAAAAACTCCCTTCATTAAATTAGTTTAAACTTTGCATAAAAGATAGATATCGTACAACGATTTTTTCGATTTTAAAAAATTCTATCTACTAACGTTTTTTAGAAAGTTTCAAAAGTGTCGCAAATCAATATTAAAAAATTTCCCTTCAATAAAATTTTATGAAAAAAGAATATTGAGCTTGTTAAGCCGATGTTAAGAAATGTTCAAAGTTTTAAAAAATTTTACCGAAGGAAAAGGGAGAAATTTAGGTATAATTTTCACGGTGGGAAAAAAAGACAGCAAATTGGGCCAAGTAGTTATAACTTTCCGACCTTAGTTTGGAATATCACGAAACTTCCTCACAGGATAGAACTTGCCATTCCGAAAAATCGTATCGTTTTTGTTTTTCGATTTTGGTACATTTTGGCGGGGAAATGACGTGTCAACTTTGGCGCCAAAAAATTAAACACGAGCTAAGAACATGCTAGTAATTTTTTTGAAGAGAATGTCCTATAAGGATCTCAAAACATCTCCTATAAGGGAATGTCCTATAAGGATCTCATCTTGTTATTTTCTACTGGCAGTATATGAGCTGTTTAACAATTAGTCTATCGCCGAAAGCGAGAGGTGATTCACGTTGGTCAAATTTAGCAAAATTTCTCCCACTCGTGCGGACTCGTATGGTCAGCGGACATCCCACAGAAAGTGGGCAGTTCTGTGAAAAATGCAAAAGTTTCAATTTTTTACAAGTCCGCTGAAAATGCGAGCCTGCGGTACTGGGAGAAAATTTGCTGAATATGACCAGCGTGATTATAGTCCGTGTGTTGTGACCCGATATCGTTCACTTTCAATAAGCATGTCTTAGATCTGAAATATTTTTACAGGAACTAACACTTTCGAACACGCTGAGTTCAAATCCGAAAAGTTCCCACTCCGTAAACCAGCAGTTTTTTCACAAAATGTTATTTCATCTTCACTAATTTCACAACAATTTTTTTCATTGTTCAACGATACGGATCGATGACGATACACGATTATGTCACTCAAAAGGACCAATTTCTATTAAACATTCTTCCTTCTAACAAAAGATCGGTTTTGCTCGAATCATTTTGAGTTATGCAATCTTATGCGTGTTGAACGTAAACAACATATCTTGTCTACAACTGTGAGAAGGTACCATAGATATCTTATATAGACTAGATAGCGCATCTCTTTTAGTAAAATTGAAGCCAAGAATATTCCAGCGGTTACCCCCATTTGAATAGATGGCGGCCATGTTGGTCGTTCCCACTTGCTAATAAACGCTTAAAAACAACAATAACTTTCATCATTTGAATAGTTTAAAAATGTACTTGGAATGGGGTTAACTTAATGTTTAAGTTCCATGTTTAAGAAATAGAAAACATACGAATCTTCTCATTTCATGGGAACGACCTGAGACTGCAATCACGGCTTCAATTTTTGAATTGCAGAATAATTAGATTCACTATCTAGTGTATATAAGATATCTATGGAAGGTACAGATAACGCTTTCTAAAATCCTCAGTTCTAGAGATATCTCTATAAAATCACAAGGACATTAATATCAAGTCTTTTAGCTATGTCACTGGCCTGAAAAATAACTCTTTTAACGCGATCAAGATATTTAAAACAAAAGTAACGCGAAGCCAACGTAACGGCAAAGACAACGCTAAAACGAAATATTGTCGAATGGTTGCAGGTAGAAGACTTACGACAGCATCAATCTTAAATAACCTTAAGCTATTTAGTTTAGTTTAGTTTAATTAATTCACCAGTAAATTACAATAACATACATATATAACAAGTTACAAGTTTACTAAACAGACGACTGGCAGGAGTTAGATACAGGACTAATGTCCCAGTTGCCATCCTACCCCTATACATCAATACAATACACTAAGAAATATTCACGCAGGTAAGCAATACGTAGCTAATTTATCGAAGTATAGGTTAGTGATTTTAGTCTTAAATAAAGTAATTGAATTACAAGATTTTAAATTAGAAGGTAACGTATTCCAGAGTTCTGTAGCCCTAATGAAAAACGACTTTCTATAATAGTCTTGTTTGTGCTTAATAATCAAGTTGTAGTTATTTGGGTCGTAATTACGTGTCCGATAGCAATAAACGTAAGTGTTCAGGTACTTATTCACGTCCATAGTTATTAGCCCATTTCTGGACTTAAACAATAAAGTTAAATCCGAAATCTCTCTTCTGAATTCCAGTGGAAAAAGGCGTAGTTTCTGCAGCCTCAACGGATATGACATATCTTTTGGGTAATTAAGAATAAACCGCGTAGCTCTTCGCTGAACATTTTCGATAAGTAAACGATGTTTACCTGTGTAAGGAGACCAAAGACTACTATAATACTCAAGCTTTGGTCTAACAACAGTACAATACAGAAGCTTCCGGGTGTTTGTGTCCTTGATATCCCCACACAATCTTTTAACAAGACCAAGGGTTCTGTTAGCTTTAGAGACAATCTCTTCGATGTGTTTAGACCATGAAAGGTTGTTGGTGATAGTAATTCCAAGGTCCAGTATGTTAGCAACATTTTCTAATTGGTTACCTGCCAGATAGTAGTTTTTACCCGTTAAGTGATGTTCTGTAGGTAATTTCTTCCTTGAAAAATGTACTGCTTTACATTTACTAACATTGAATGCCATTGCACAGTTTTTGCCCCAGTGACTGAGGCTGTCGAGATCTTTCTGAAGGGAAACACTGTCGTTAGGCAAATAGATAGGGCGGAAAAGTTTGGAGTCGTCCGCATAAAGAGCAATTGATGAATTGTTTTCTAAATAGGTGGGTAGATCGTTAATGTATATTAAGAAAAGAAGCGGCCCAAGGATAGACCCCTGCGGGACGCCCGATGTAACAGGGAGCCAGTCAGAAGAATGTCCGTTGATAACCACTCGTTGGTGTCTTTCCGATAAGTAACTGCCAAACCATGAGAGGGTAGGATCAGAAATACCATACGATTTAAGTTTTAATAAAAGCAGATTGTGTGGTACCTTATCGAACGCTTTGCTAAAGTCCAGGTAAATTGCATCTACTTCTTGACCACTAGCGATACATTCCAGAATTTGATGGTATACTACCAACAACTGCGTATTCGTGGACCGCCCTCTCAGGAAACCATGTTGGAGATAATGGAACATAGAGTGTAGATGTTCATAACAGTGATTGTAAACACACCGCTCTAAAACTTTCGATAACGTATCGAGTAAAGAGATAGGTCTATAGTTCGATGGAATTGTCGGATAATTCTTTTTAAAGATGGCAGTAATGTTAGCAAGTTTCCATCGTTTAGGCATTATGCCTTCTGATAGTGAAAGATTGAAAAGACGGCAAATTGAAGGTGCAATTTCATCAGCAACGCTTAACAGAATTCTATTTGGCAAATTATCTGGACCGCTAGCTTTGTTTGTGTCCAAGCTATGGAGCACCTCAGACACTTCGCAAACTGTTAACTGATTTATGAGAATAAATATGAGAATTATTATGAGAATAAATGTTCACATCAAAGACAAAGATCAGTCACAAAGTATAAAATATGCTCTGTAAACTTACCGCGAAGTGGAGAAATGTGTGCATGAGCTGTTTATTTGATGATTTCGACGTATATAGAAGCCCTCTTTCCAATAATACTCGCTTATCGCACAGTATAACACCAACTCATGCAATAGTTCAAATGCAATAAGTTATCTGTTGAATTACGTCTTGGAAACCGTGTTGGAAATTTCAATGCTGATCCATTACATATAGATTACCGTTTTATATCTTTGTATAAAACATTTTGATCGCATGTAAGGAATTATTTCTCATCCCAGAGACATAGAACAAAGACTTGACATTAATGTCCTTGTGATTTTATAGAGATAGATCCAGAACTAAGGATTTTAGAAGGAATTATCTGTACCTTCGCAAAGTTGTAGACAAGATATGTTGTTTACGTCCAACACGCATAAGATTGCATAACTCAGAATGATTCGAGCAAAACCGGTCTTTTTTTTAAAGGAAGAATGGTTAATAGAAATTGGTCCTATTGAGTGACATAATTGTGTATCGTCATCGATCCGTGTCGTTGAACAATGAAAAAATTTGCTGTGAAATTAGTGAAGATAAAATAGCATTTTGTAAGAAAACTGCGGGTCTACGGAGTGGGAACTTTTCGGACTTGAAATCAGCGTGTTCGAAAGTGTTAGTTCCCGTAAAAGTATTTCAGATCTAAGACATGCTTAATGAAAATCTTTTTCTAGGCACTTTTCGAGGTCACAACATACGGACTATTACAAGCGAAGGCGAAGTGAACATACCACATACGCTTGTAATCACCGAGCCTGAGGCGAGTAATTGTTTTAGTATAATTTCAGTATTGAAAAAGTTTTATTTATAAATACAACTAATACATGTGTTTATTTTATGAATATAATTTGCATATATAATTTACTTCCGTCTGATTTTCAGCCATTTTTCTCAAAGGCCATTTTTCAATACTGAAATTATCCCCGAGCCGACGCCGCGAAGCGCCGTGCGAGGGTACTAATTCCCCCCCGCTATTTACACCCGGGAAAACGAAAGCATTAGGGAAGTCTAAAGTCGGTCAAATATCGCGGGCGTGGCTCACCAACGATGTTTCGGTGGGTGGTCATCCTCACTGATCTTGCATTATAACGACTGCATGACGACAGCGAAATAGCAAACATTTCTTGATTTGATGATTGATAAATTTCTTGCAAATATATTTCATTTTTGCTCGCATTTTTGCAAGATTTTGTAAATTTCAAAAGCTCCCTCAGAAAGAAACTGCGCGAAAGAATCGGCTAAAAGAAGGGAGCCGACGTTAACGAAGGTAACCTTGTTTTAAATATCGATTTTATAATGCCGGGCTTTAAAAGTTAAAACCCGACGGCCTTCGCGTATATGAAACACCTAAACAAGACAGCAATGATATAATTTCAGTGTTTCTTTAAAGTGCATATGACATGACATTTTTTATGTTCTTTAATGAAAGAACTCTTTAAGCTGTAGTGTGACTTATTTTTCAGTTTCACTTGTTTTCATGGTTTGTTCCCGAGATATTTCAATTTGTTTGATATGTAAATGAGAGTGAATATGTCCGCTAATTTATGACGTCACGTTGGCTGCAAGCTCAACTTACACTGGTTATATATCTATTAACTCTAAAAACTGTAGATATCAGTTCACGTTTTTCTCCAGTATTTTATCACATTTACCAGTGAGTGAAGTTAGAAATTATTATCTTGGATGATAGCCGTTATATTGAACCATTTTGAAGAGCTTGCAACCAACGTGACGTCATAAATTAGCGGACATATTTACACTCATTTACATACCAAACAAATTGAAATATCTCGGGAACAAACCATAAAAACACGAAACTGAAAAATAAGTTGCACTACAGCTTAAAGAGTTCTTTCATTTAAGAAAATAAAAAAATTCATGTCATATGCACTTTAATATTGATTCCCTTTTTTATGATATCGAATTTTTTAAATAAAAAAGAAAGCAAAGTTATTTGCAAGCATGAATTTGAAATCATTTTATTGCAAACTCAAAGTTTATCGATAAAGCCATTTTAAAATGCAGATTAGTTTTATAAAGAACACTAGTGACTTTAAAACGTTTTCCGAAGCGTTTGTGGTTGAATTTTTACCTTAAATTGAGGCTTATATTACGTATAATAACATACATAACATATATATGTTGGGAAATTAATAATTTTGTAATTAAAGTTAGTGGTATTTTTAGGCGATTTTTCATTTGTAAAAATATTCTTAAAAAATTATCGTGTTACCATGACAACTACTTTAGATACTTCATGTTCGGAAAATACAATGGTCAATGGTTTTGTCAGCAAGGCGAGTTTCTGCATGCACGTATTTTCTAGTACTAATATTATATAGACAGCTACCGGATATAAGCTATTCTGCAATCTGATTGGCTCTCTAGTAGCAGGATATTAGCTCATATCCTGCTAGTAGAGAAAATAAGATGGCGGCGCAAGAATTACCAGAGTTTTTGAAACGAGAAAACAGCAAGTTATTCGCTTTTTATAACCTTGACGGTAAAAAAAACAGCAACTGTTTACAGGTTAGAAAATATTTAAACTGGTTAAAAAATATATACTTTTGAAAAAAATAATGGCGAAAAAGAGCGAAGATAAAAACATGAACAGAAATGAGAATATAATTTTTAAAAAAAACTGATTTAAGGTGGCTCCCTACAGTTGTTTAAGCGTGGGACTGGTAACGAAATGACGGCTTCTTGGCGAGTTGAAATCAGTGAACTCAATCTATTTACCTGAAACGATAACATTCAGTCATTTGGCAGTTAAAAAGTGAAGCCTCGCGTAAGCACTCCACGCCATTTCCACGCCATATAGTAAGTCAGTTTCAGTCCCTTTATACGCCATGATCGCGCGGTCCATCGCCACGCCATACAGTACGTCAGTTTCAGTACCTTTATACGCCATCACCGCGCGGTCCATCACGAATCCCCGCGAATCAAGTGGCGTTGGCATTGGCTTCACGTTTCTCTCGCTTGTTATCGTTCCAGATAAAAGTCATGGAGTTTACTGGTTGAAATTTTATCACGTCAGCAAAAATTTCATTTGACCGCGGAAGGTTTGTAATGCAGTATTCAACCACTTTTTTCCTTCGGTCAATTTTTCTGAAATTTTGTATTTTAAAAGTACTATTAATAGTCATTTATTGCAATACACTCCGCAAATTTCAAAAGATTCTATAAAACAGTTTTTGTGGAACAAATTTCGTGGCAAAATGGATACCGACAAAGGAAAAAGGTCGCCTCCCGCAAAAAAATTCGCTAGTGGAAAACCGGCTTTACCTTCACACCCGAAAATGGGTCTCTGTAAAGAACGGAAACCGAAACGACCGAATCCGGAAACGACCGAATCCGGAAACGACCGAAACCGGAAACGACCGAAACTGGAAATTTCCGCCTAATTTCCTGCATAAAATTGCCTAAAATTTAGCCTGCTCTGAACCATGCGCTTTATTCATTCATCCCTTATAATAAACAAAGACTGTCAACTATCAAAATGACGCAGGGCGTGAAATGTACAACGACGAAATGTATAAAACAAGTGTGTAAACTCCAAAGATCGATAACATTTTTATATTTATCAACGTTTCGACTATATTTCAATCATCATCAGGATAAAGAAATGTATATAACAATAATACGAAGCATTAGCAAGCCGCACAACATATTAAATATAGGCTGCAGATAATACATTACGAGTTAATCAATACACATACAAATTGAAAGTCGAATAAAATACTACCATTGAATGAATGCAATAATACTTGTACTACTTGTGATTGAAAGAACAATGTTCTGAATATTTGAAGCTATTAAAATGCAGTCAGATAAATTGGGATTTGGAATACGTCTAAATGAGCATGTATTTAATTTTTTCAAAATCAAGAGCGTGCCATTTTAGTGGAAGCCATATCGTATGTCAAATGAGAAAGTGAATGCAATATCGTTTTTATTGAATTAAACAAAACCGGCATGAACGGCATTGCCATTGTTCAGAAAGTTAATAATATGCAGTAAGATTATTAAATAATTGACAAAATTGTCAGCAGTTAAATAGTATATAACCTTACTTTCGGACGATATTTATCAAAATGTTATACCAGCGATCGAGCATCAACAATATAATTATTCGTTTTGCGGGAAATTTAGGCGGGAATTTCCGGTTTCGGTCGTTTCCGGTTTCGGTCGTTTCCGGATTCGGTCGTTTCGGTTTCCGTTCTTTACAGAGACCCCCCGAAAATTTAATAAATTCATTTTTAGTCCAAAATTTGATCTTTGTCTGCTTTATATTACATATACTACTCCAGTTCGCAGAATTAACTGTTAATTATTATACGCTCGCTCACAGGCCATTGACCAATCACGGGTCTTCAATAGGGTCACGTGCATGCCCGATATTTCACCATTTGGACAGTTCATATTCACAGTCGCTTATCGTGGCTTTTTTCCTGGTTTATCAAACTTTTTCGGATTTTTTGTCAATTTCAAACACACAAAAAATGATATGGTAAAGTAAGGCCAAAAAAAAAATATGTGGGTTTCCGGTTTCTTCTTATAAAAACTTAGGTAGGGTAGGTCGGTTTTAACTTTTTTTTTTAAACTTTTTTTTAATTTTCCGAACAAGCGGACGCCATTTTTGTTTAGTCAGTGCTTCCACATCCAAAGATAAATTTCCCTAATATTGCCTCAAATTTCAATTTTCCACAAACTTTTTTCTCTAAGTGGAAACACTTACAACCATGATCCAATAAAAAAGTTTAGGGTCGGGATTTCGACGTCCAAAAGCTAGGTAGGGTCGGGAAACCGGAAACCCACATATTTTTTTTTTGGCCTAATGAAAAGAATTTGGAACATCATGACAGTTTTTTCTACCAGTTTTGCTTAATTAAAATTTTAAAAGCGCTGGAAAACTTGTCTTCGCGAAACTCATTTGCATCAGCCGCGAGGTAAGTAATATATCACTTTTTCAGCACATGCTTGACAGGGGCGCACATTCGAAAAAAATTTGGGGGGTGTCCTATGTTCTGGGACCGACTTTTGTAGTATTTGTGTTTGGTAAGAAAAGCCAACTATTTAAAGCGCATAGACGGTAAGGCGGGGGTAGTACTCCAAGAGTTTAAATAAACGTTCAGTTTTTCAGAACTTTTGCAGTGGTCTAAACTTTCGTGGGGGGGATTTTTATGGATTTCGAATGCGAGCGCCGTAGGCGCGAGGAAAAATTTGAATTTCTAGATTCATTAGAACGCTATTTCACGTACTTTAGGACGAGGTTTGAAGAAAAGTTACAACCACAAAAAGGCATACTTAAGTCGCCTAATGTTTAGTAATGTTGTTAGATCGAAAGAATATTTATGTACAACCACAAAAAGCATATTTAGTTACAACCACAAAAAGGCATATTTAAGTCGCTTAATGTTTAGTAATGTTAGATCGAAAGAATATTTATGTACAACCACAAAAAGGCATATTTAGTTACAACCACAAAAAGGCATATTTAAGTCGCCTAATGTTTAGTAATGTTGTTAGATCGAAAGAATATTTATGTAAAACATTGTATTGTACACGCAAATACAACAGCAAAATAGCATGATGTCTTCGTTTTTGTAGAAGTCGGTCATGAGTGCTGCTTTGAGCGCAAATTCAAGTTCAAATGTGCTTTGAAACAACCATAGGCATTTTTACTGGAGTTAGGATTCTAGGTAGGGAAGACTTCAACTTTTATTGGCAAACAGAAGAGATGGGTATCATTATTCACACAACCTACCCCCACCCCAATTTCTGCCCGGATTTCAGCTTTCCACAAGGGCAGTCCTTCTGCCCATTTCAGAGCTCCCCGAGCCCCCATGTTGGCTACGCCGCTGATTTACT